TGACCTTACCTTCTCACCCTTATTTCACAAAGATGGCAGCCTTCCTAGATGCGGTATTTAAGAACTTCAAGAGAGTTCAGGATGGCTTCTCTGCTCTGAAATATTCCCTGAACAACACTCAAGTGCATGGCTTCACCAATTCCCTATCCTGGATGAATGTGCGGTGGGGTAGCCTGGTCGTTAATGCGTCCACTCGTCACGCTGAAGACTCCACATTCCCCACATGGGTACAACGTGTGAAGCCAATTTCTGGTGTCCCAATCATGATATTAGTGGAATATTGCTCGAAGTGGCGTAAAACCATACTCCCTCACTCACTCACTTACTCTCCTGGAAGAAGACATGTTTTCGCCGTGCCCAAAACGAAACAAAACTCCCTTTTTAACTGATGATCTGGAGCTAGTACATTTGGGCACTGGTATTCGCTGTTCCTTACCTTCCATCAGCATGATCCTGTCAGCAACAGAGGCAGTTGTGGCACCACCCAGAAACAGGAGCAAATAAGGGGGGCCATGGCTATGGTTCACGAACATTTTCAAACCATGTTGGATCAAATCACTCATTTCCTCTGATACATGCTGGCGATCATATGATGGGGTCCACTAAGCCATACCGCCTGGGACGAAGGGTATAGAGTTGAATTGTTCCACAAACCCTGGTCACCTCCCTATCTCTTCAACAGTGTTATCCATGACATCTCTATGAAAGTGGATTGAGGGACCCAGTTTCAGGTCTTCATTGAGCTACTCAAGCTTCAAAAGTCACAACTACAGGAGTCGATGAAGCATAGACGCCCAGTGCAGTACATGCCTTCGAAACCCCAATCTGAGTGACTCCTTTCGTGCGTGTAACATTTTTTTGTGGCAGGGAGAGGAGACAGCCCAGATCCACCACCACCAGAGGAAGCCGCAACTTGGATGCAGCTTGTAGAGCTAGTGCTGAGAGGCATTAAATATCACAAACGTTCGCCCGACTGGGAACTTCCGCCCCCATACGTCCCATTCCTAGACACCCCAGTAGGCGGAAGACTTGGACTATTTGCTCGAAATTGGACTCTTCTACCCTCAGCCAGGGCTACAAGCTGCTGATTATATGATCTCCGTTCCTGACCATCCATCTGGTTCAACGAATCTACCCAGCAGCGCAGATACCAGCTCTACAAACCACCAGTTATGTTGTTGGAGAAGTTGAGCCTCTCAGACTTTCGCCTGACACTCCCGGTTTCTATTTGTTGATCTTTCTCGTCCCGAAGAAGGATTCTGACAAGCTTTGACAGAAGTCTAGATAAGCTACATATCTACGTAAAATATGCATAGAAATTTCCAAAATACGCACTGAAAAATATCTGTAGCGTCTCAAATAGGCAAAGGAAATTACAGAAACGCTTAGTTAGTTGTTGACTTGCGTACCCTGGCTTACCGGTAAAAAAACAAATGCGTAACAGAAAGTAGCTAACTGTTAAATGTTACGAGTGGATTGTTTATCAACAGAGATGGCCTAACGGAAATCGCGTGTGCTTTCGTCTTCTAATATATCATCTCAAAGTAGGATTTCGGCAATTGTCACTGTTTTAAATTTATCTTTTGAAAATTCTGTCATTGCAAAAGAATTAGAGGCTGCTATCGATAGAATATTGACAGATTTGCTTACTGCTGTCATTCACGCAATTGTGAAAAAACATGACGGCAATAGCCTTTAAAACAAAAAAAAATCAGGATGCATGGAAAATTAAGTTTCCATGGTTAACTTTCAATAACCAGTCTGAAGAAATGAGATTATGCTGTACTTATTGTCAGTCGGCAAGAAAAATATGTCCCTTTCAAGTGTGTGGGCTAGTGATAGTACGCCAAGACACTACAAGTCTAATAACAAAGTAACTTAAAAACTTGACATTTTGTTATTTCTCTTTAAACGATGATCAGGTTAATGTCTAAAGTACAAACAATTGGCTATAGTTCTCTTTTTTAACATATCAAACATTACTGACATGGAAAATACCTACCCACATATATAAAAAGGGTGGGTATTGGAAAATTTGAGTACCCACTGAAGATCAGTAGTACCCATTTATAGCAGACACCATGGGTAAAATACCCAGATTGCAAAAAACGTATCTAGAGCTCTGCTTTGACTAATCTTCAGCTTGAAGGTCTTCAATGTCAACTACCTTCAGCCGCCTCCACACTTCAGAATAATCTCCATGAACCTTCTATGAACAATCTTGAACGACATGACTACATGATTTTTAAGACCATTGCAATTACCTGTGATTCATCTTCCAGGGCATTCACTGCCAATGGAAGGTCCTCCCGTTTTGGCATTTCTACGGCTCCCTGGCTATTTACCTGTCTCACAAAGCCGATCACTGTTTTTACATCAATGAGGCATCGCGTTCGAGGCTTACATCAATGATTGTATTCAAGCCAAGCCAGATCGACAGATCGTGTTTCAATCTACAGTTTGCCACCAAACTGCTTTACCAGCTAGGTTGGATCGTCAATCTCAAGAAGTCAGAACTGATTCCCACCCAACAGCTTCAGTTCATCTGGGCTGTATTCGACACACGCCGCCTGGGGAAGATGTTTGTTCACCAGGAAAGATGGGTCAAGATTCAACGCTTCATACCTCTAGCTCTGACTCAAGACAGATCTCTACGACAGTGGCAGGAACTTCTCTGCTTGCTGACGTCAGCCCAAGCCATGAGGACCAGAGGACATCTTCAGCTTCGACCCATCCAGAGATTTCTAAGACCGTTTCTGCTGATCAACAATCCCCATGCGCCGATCCGTTTACCTTCATCGTCTCTTCACATAAACATACTGGAGGCAGTCATACTAGCCATAGATCATTGGGCACGGGAGCTTCAGTCGACCAGTCTTCTCATACAGTGAGACAGTTTGATGGCAGTTTGGTACGTCAGTCATCTTGGCTCAACAGGTTCATCGCACCTCCTTAAATGGGCGATCTGCTTCTTCAAACTAATAGATTCACTGGGCATCTCAGCCAGAGCCAGACACATAACAACTGTTAGGAATGTCATCGCCAACACTCTCTCAAGGTGAGATCAGCTGTCCCCGACCGAGTGGAAAATACACCCACACATCTTCGAATCACCCACCCTCGGGTGGATCTATATTTTTTATGCATATTTTAAGTATTTTTCTTTGTAATCGATAATTGTCTACAATAAAAGATAAAAATATGGGAATTGCGTGGATTCGTTGTTTTATCCAAAGGTGTTATTAATATTGAGGCAAAGAATAACATAAAGGTTCAAGTTTGATGAATACTTTTAATTATAAAAACATTATTTAAGTAAATAATACAACTCAAAAACAAGAGAATATAAAAATAATCTCTGCTCAGCATACTGTTTTTTGGGGGGGTATTTTTCGATGAAAAAGATAAAAATAAGTAAGTGTTTTAATCCAAAGAAGATCTCTTGCTCTTCCCAGTTCGAGCTTCAAAGATCTACATAGCTGCCTCACAGGATCATTGCAGGTTGTGCAAGCGCCTATTTATCCCACTCCCTACAGCCTCATCAGCTTAAGTCTCCCGAACTACCTTGGCATTATCATGGATGATATTGATGATCTTGCAAGCCTATACCCACACCAGTCTTCCCTCTCCTGCTGCATCAAACCCTCATAAGACTTGGGCCTTAGCGTCGACGATGGCTCTTCACAGCAACTGCTTATTGGCATCAATCATGGCGGGGGTGCTTTTGGATCAGAAACGGTCTTTGCTTCCCACTATCTACGCGACCTATCAGTGACTGATGTTTAGTGGCTTCATCAGTTTGGTCCCTTGATACAGGTGCAGCAGCTGTCATAGGCCTGACAACGCACATAGGAATTTCCTCAGTTCGCCTAATCAATGATTCCTTGCACATAGGGAATAAAGATGTATGAAATTCCACTTCATCTTCGTTCTACTTACCTTGGGCATAGATTTACCTCACCTGACTTCATGCCAGGGCATTGCAGTACAGTCACCGTTGAGCGATTTCATCATAGACTGACAGGCCTGTCTTGTACTATGTTGCAGAGGCGATCAACACTTATGCTTACTGTCCTCGACTCTCCGAGCAGTTAGTCAGTGAAGTATGAATTCCAAATTCCAGTGGATTTAGATGCATTCCGCTCCTAAGTTGCCGTTCACATCCTTGACTAAGCTTAAGCAAAGGAACGAGGGTCATTCGATGTTATTCAGATCTGAACGTTAAAACAGTCGAGCTAACCAGGCCATCTTGTGTTTCACCCTTCTGGTTGAGTTATCTGGGGATGGTTTTGAAGCAAGATCTGGCCAGATTAGGGTCATAAGACTATATTTCACTGAGATTTTCTGGAAATCAGGGTGAGGTGAGTCACTTGCTGAGTTCCGCATTTGTCTTCGGACAAATGTATGGCAGAAAACCACATTTACTCAGGAGCGCCAACTCCCTGGGAGTTTTTGTTCTGAGTAAGCCAAGGGGTTTTGAAGGAAGCAACCCATCACAAGTATAGGTGTTAAGCAGTCAATCACAGATTATGCTTATAACAGGCCTCCTTGTGCATCGCCATTACGTCTCTATGGTTGTATCATCTATAGACACAGGCCAACAGTCCAACCATGGGATAAGTACAAGATGTGTGAAATTTTAACAATAACTTGTATATTTATAATTCTTATCCTGTCTCACATAATGGATGCCCACCTGACCTACCCCACTACAAAGATTACGTCATTGGCTCCGAGAAGAGAAGGACTAGACAATGGAGTCACATTATCAACCAGAGGGCATGTTGCATGCTTCTCAGGAGACTACCAAGCTGTCCAATAAGTGGAGCAGTAGGGATGTGATTAGGCAAATGGTACCAGAGAGGCTAGGCACTTCGTTTGCAGTTTGTTTCAACTCAGCTGTCAATCATGAGAGAGAGAGAGTACAAGATGTGAGATAAGATAATTATTATAAATATACAATTTATAGTTAAAACTTTCTATTTTGCATATATTTTCAGATTGTATGAAAAGATGCTGGTGAAATGCATTGAACAGTGTGGCTTACAGGAAACAGAGAGTGATGAAACCAGTTTTCTTCTGATGTTGAAAAATGCTGAGTTCTGGACAAACCTTCTGGAAAAGGCAGAGCAATATGAATTCTTGAAGAGAAATGTTGTCCTTAGAAAAGGTCGTTGGGCTTCTGTCCAGATGGCACAAAAGTTGTGTACTAACACATTGTCCCTCCTATTTTCAAAGAAATTACATGCAGCAGTGAAAGATGGTTATTCTAAGTGTACCAAAATGCTTTTAGTTTCTGGTACAGTCTACAAGAAAGAAGATTTGGATAAAGCACTGTCACTGTTGCCTGAAGCTAAGAAAAGGGCAGAAAGTGATGAAGAATTCATTTCTAATATTTTGAACAAGCTTAAAACTCTCTTTGGGGGAAAATGGCCTGATTTAGAAATTGCATTTAGAATGTTTCATGAAATGCACAAAGAAGTACAGGCGGGAACAGTAGTTGTATCAGCTCTTCTTGATCATTTATTTTGGGGCCCTTTCTGTGATATCCTGAGGTCTAGTGAGCTTATTTCCAATGTTTCAAAGTCACAAAGTTATTGGAAAATCTCAGAAGCTGTGATAAACCAGTGGTTATCAAGTCCTGGTATATTAGAAACAGTTATGCCTTCTAGTCCAGAAGACGACATTTGCCAGCTGTTTGGAGAAGACAGAATTGAAGATGATAACCCTTATGTAACTATGAAGGTGATGGGATTGCTTGCTTCTGAATGTGTAATAGAATATGAAAATATTTGGAAGCCCCTTTTTGATGGCTCTGATCAAAGAATAGGTTACATGCGACCCCTGCTTGATGTTGATGACAGTCTCTCTGAACAGTCAGTAGCAGAATGTCATTTTGACGGGGAAGTTACAAGTTTGGGTTAAGAAAGCAGTTGAGATGTATGACAAATACTTTGAGTATTCTGCTAGAGTTGAAATATTGAGGAAGGTGTTGAAAATACTTCACTTACAGGAAATGGAGGAAACATTTGCAGAATCTGTACAAGCATTTACAGCTCTTGAAGAAAAAAATGTGGATGACCTAACACTGAGACAGCTGTTTGAGACTGGAATCATATTGAGTCAGTTAAGTGAGATACTTCAAGGTGAACTTTCAAATATTTTGGAGGAACTTTCAAAATCATCATTACTTGTAGACTTTCTTCGAGAGACAGCTTTGGAAGATCTGCGTAACCTAATTGATGCTGTGGAGGAGCACTCAGAACAGTCTGTGCAAGAATCAACTGTGTCTGCTCTGATAAATGTGAAAAGATTTCTCAGCCCAATACTTAGGGAAACTCCCCATTCAGAAGTGAAACATGTGTTGACAATGCTGCAGAAGTCACTGACTGATTCAAAAATAACCAACCTGGATCAAAAGATTTCTGAGTGTAACACCCACCTTCACAGCCTAAAGGCTCTTTTTCATAATGTTGCTAACAGGGGTGAAGTTACAAAAGAAATTGTCAAGAAAGCTGTCCAGCAAGGATCAAAGTATGTATTTACATTATCCCAGTCTGGATGTGATTTAAATCTGAAGTATAGGAGTCACAACACAACAAGGACTCATACACACTCTGACATTAGTGACTTGAGAAGCAGAGTTATGTTAATGAATACAGATGTGAAAGAGAAAGGCAAAGCCAAAAAACAGGACAAGATCAAAGAAGATTTTGAAGTATTTAAGCAGTCTGTTGATGATGCCATGAATATTGTTTCAATTTTGACTGAACTCTGTCAGTCTGGTCATCCAGGGTATCCTGATAAATACACAGTGTCATTGAACATAATAGATCTGCAGCAATGTGCCACTGAATATGGCAATACACTAGTGAATTGGCAAAGTGCATTAAGAGATAGTAGAAACCAATATTATTGGCTCAACTTTTTTTATCCTGAACAATTGCGTCAAATTGAAAATCACTTAAAAGCAATACACAGTAAAGTGGATACAGAAATATCTGATCTTTTGTCCTTTACTGGTTATGACTTAAAACATTTATCAGGAGGAAATGACATATATTCCCACGTTCAGGAGGATATAGGACATGATGCCTTTGGACTGAAAAGTGTTGGAAAAACGTTAGAGATCTTGTTTCAAGGTAAAACAACAATGTTGACTCAATTTCCCGATACTAAATCTGGAAGGGTCGCTGACGCAGTTCAGGAAGGTGAATTATTTCTAGTGGGTTTGAATGATGATAGTGACCTTGCTGTACCAACTCTGTTAGCTTTGTACAAAAACACAACTAGATGTTTACCAATGTCAAGCCAAGTACTTTTCTGTCAAGAGGATACACTTTGGGAAGACATTGAACTTCTCATACGAAGGTGTCTAGGTGCAAAAAGGGAAAAGAAACCAAATCAGCTCTTCTCCATTGTCTGTGTTGAAAATCTGTCAAGTGAACTTCAATTTAGGCTCGTTGATATACTTGAAACAATGGAGGAAGAGTCTTACCTGCTGGCAATAATATGTAGAGGAAATGCTCATCACCCCTTTTTAGATCATTTTGGAGAAAATGTTCATCAAGTGCAGCCAATGTCACAATCAGCAATGGAAGAATGTCTTCAAACATTATGGCCAGATGTTGTCACTGTCTTATCAGATGTCCCAGGTCAAGGAAAATCAGAATATATCCAGCAACTGGCATGGTCAAAACAAAAGAGAGTCTGCTCATTGCATGTTAGTGGAGAAATGACCCCAAAAGAACTTGTGAAAAAGATGTCCGACCTTGATTTGACATCATCAGATCTGCTTCACATTGATATTGGAATGCTTTCTAAACCCAAGGACGTGGATCTGCTTCTCACTCAGTTGATAGTGCTAGGTTTTGTTTCCCATGGATCTGATCTAGTGAAACTCACAACAAAAACAATTTGTATTGAGGTAGCAAACACTATCAGTAACAGTCTTAGAAACTCATTAAATACAGTTTTGTGTTTCAGAAGAGAAGTGCTCAAATGGCGAAATTATGCTAATTTTTGTGTAAGCAATGAAACATGCAGCCCTTTGCAAGTTGTCTGTCACTACTTGCAAGCGTATGACTGTGGAAAACTGGACACCACTGACTTGTACTTTACCGGTGAAGCTGCATGCAGGCCCTTGCCACAGGAAAAGTGTACAGAAATGCTCAAGAAGTATTTTTCAAGTGGAACAGATATGTCCTTCACTCTCGTGAGAACATTTTTAAATGTGTTGTCGGATCAATTGAAAAAGTTTTCATGCAGTTACTTCTTCAGGACAACAAACATATCTGGAATGCTTGGTGGAGATGCACATTTAAAAGATGTTAAGAGTCAGTTGTTCAGGGCTCTCCTTGATGTGTCAAGGGAATTTGCTACAAGATCTGTTCATGCATGTCGGGAAGATCAGACAGCCAGTGTTCTAACAATGAGTCAATCTGCTGATATCAATCAGAGTGTGGAAAATCTAGTAGCTACTTCTGCTTCAGCTTCAGCAATGACAAAACGTGTAGAAGCCATGATACAGTGGGAGGAAAGTAATCATTTACTGATTGCATTTCACAATCAAGACATTCAAACACTTTCTGCTCTTTACAGGAACAAAAATTTGGTACCTGTACATGTGAAAACACTCTTTGAAACACAAGTGAAAGCTGCCATGCCTGAGTTCTCAAAACTAAGTCAAACAGAACTTCAAGATATGTTGCAACGAATTGCCAGATTCAAACCTGGAGCAACATCTGATAAGGTTAAGAATCACATGAGTTCGTCTTATGCTCTGACACCTGACAATCTATTGAAAATGATACTAATCATACTATGAACGAGGGCTCATGTTCCTGTCATCATCATGGGGGAAACTGGGTGTGGAAAAACAAGTTTGATCCGATATTTGTCTGTGATCTGTGGAGTAGATCTAAAGATACAGAACATACATGCCGGGATTGTAGAAGATGAGATTATTAGACGTGTTTTGGAAGTGAATGAAACAGCTTTGAACTCCTTGGATGACGTAGTTTGGCTGTTTCTAGATGAAATCAACACTTGCAACCACCTTGGTTTAATCAATGCAATTCTTTGCCATCACACATGCCATGGTATGAGGCTTGCTCCCAATCTTGTTGTCATGGCAGCATGTAATCCATACAAGATAAGAAGTGATCAGAGTATTTTCACTGCGGGACTTGAGACTAAAGTGCAAGCAGATGAAATGTCTAGACTGGTGTACAGGGTGAATCCTCTTCCAGAAAGTATGGTGGATTTTGTCTGGGATTATGGCAGTCTGAGTGACAGCGATGAAAAGGCATACATAAAGCGCATGATAACTGGCTGTGTTCAGCAGAGTTTAGAAAATTGTGTAGTTGAACTGTTGGTTATGTCTCAGAGCTTTATCCGTGACAGGGAACACTCAGGATCATGTGTTAGTCTTCGTGATGTGAGTAGATGTCGGAAGTTGATTGACTGGTTTAAAAAGACATTGAAAGAGAAGCAAAAATTAAAGGAGAAATGCTTTTCTTCAAGTATTCAGATGGAAAGGTCCTCTGTGGTCTTAGCATTAGCACATTCATACCACTCTCGGCTACCAGACACATGTAGCAGACAGACCTACAGACAACAAACTGCAAGGATCTTTGCTAAACATCTTGTCAGTACAACTGAGCATGACATCTTAACTATCATCCAAAGTGAACAACGAGACATTCTCAATAGAATGGAATTACCCCAAGGTACTGCTAAAAACACAGCTCTCCAGGAAAATGTATTTGTCATTTTGGTCTGTATCCTTAATCACATTCCTGTGTTTGTTGTAGGGAAACCTGGTTGTAGTAAATCTTTGTCTCTGCAGCTGATTAAGAGTAACTTGAGGGGGAAAGACTCAAAAGATCCATATTTCCAGCGTTTGCCTCAGTTGTTCTGTGTGTCATACCAAGGATCTGAATCATCTACCTCTGACGGTATCCTCAAGGTATTTGCTAAAGCTGAAAAATACAAAGAGAATGACAAAGACAACAGTGTTCTACCTGTTGTCATTTTGGATGAAATTGGACTTGCAGAGATGTCAAGATTTAATCCCCTAAAAGTTCTTCATAGTTTGTTAGAACCTGGGGAAACAGAGCTTCCAAATGTTGCTGTTGTTGGTATTTCCAACTGGGCTCTTGATGCAGCTAAGATGAATAGAGCTATCCATCTCTCAAGACCTGACATGGGCGCTGAAGAGCTATATCTTACAGGGATTTCTATCAGTGAGTCTAGTGTATCAGATAATCAGAAGAGAATGAGTCTGTCATCACTGCACCCATCAGAACACTGTGACAGAAAAATTAATGAAGATCTTGTTCAAGCAATTGCAAATGCTTATTTGCAGTACACAGGAGAACAGACATTTAAGAATTTCTATGGTCTTCGAGACTTCTATTCACTAGTGAAATATGTTTCAAAGGAATTCAGTGCCTTATCTGACCATGACTCTGTTGATTCAAGTGTCCAGTTAAAAATCATTACGAAAGGATTGCTGCGTAACTTTGGGGGACTGTCCAGTGAAATCCACTCTGTTCTGACAGTATACAGAAAGCATTTGGAGAAGTTGCTTTCTGTCAACTTCCCTGAGGTGGAAGACATTCCGTCAGTGTTAGAACTTGTAGCTGAAAACATCAATGATAAATCTGCACGTCATTTACTTTTGTCCACAAGAGGAGAATCTGCTTTGAGCATAATTGAAGATTTGCTAACTGAAAAGAACAGAAAGTTTGTGTCAATCCTTGGTAGTCATTTTGAAGAGGATTTAACAGATGACTACAATTATCGTATTTTGAGCAAGATCATACTGTGTATGGAGCAAGGGGTGGTACTGGTTTTGAAGGATTTGGAGAATATATATGGTAGTCTGTATGACATGCTCAACCAGAATTACACAATTGTAGGCTCAAAGAAGAATTGCCGCATTGCACTTGGAGCTTACAGCAACCCATTGTGTCATGTGCATGATGACTTCCGATGCATTGTGTTGGTAGAGGAAGACAAACTAGATCTATCAGACCCACCATTTTTGAACAGATTTGAAAAACAGTATATGAAACTGACTGAATTGCTGTCACAAACTGAAATGAAGGCAGTCTCAGTTTTAGAAGACTGGTTCAGTGAAATTGCAAGTATTCAAGGGCATACATTTACAAGGTGTGATGTTATTCCAATAGACAGCCCAGACATGGTTGCTTCACTTGTTCATTTTGTATATTCAAAACAGAACAATGAACCTGACTCCACTGATCATATGAACATGTGCAAAAGAATGATGCTGACAATGTGTTCTCCAGAATCAGTAGTGCGAATGAATTTGAGTGAACTTCAAAAGAAAGACCCTAATGAAGTACAAGAACTGCAGGACATGTTCTTTCATTTGCCTGTTCACTATGGTTTGGCACACTTTTTCTGAATGCAAGACTTGAAGACAGTGAATGTTGTTTAAAGGAAATAATCTTTACTCACAGCAATCTTCACACAAATGTTAGTGCATGTGTGGAGATGAGTACAGCTGTTATTCAAAGTGAAAAGCTTGGTGCTTTCAAATCTGAAAAGCAACTTTGTACCAGAATAGGGAGTTTTTGGAGTGACCCTTCCAAGACATGGCTTGTTATTCAGTGCTCAGCAAGTACAGATCAGGAAAATATTCTCTTGATGAAATCTGTTGTAGACCGAGAACAGGCTGATTTCATATCCAAAAAAAGACCCAAAGACGCAAAACATGTCATGATTGTTATGCACATGGACAGAAATGACTCTGAAAACACTCTTAGTTTTGTAAACTTTTTGAGTGGATGGAATATGACATTCATAGATAGCCTTGACAATAGGGAGATCTCTCTTCAAGACTTACTGCATAAAAGGAAGATACATCTTATTCATGACAGACGCCCAATAACCTCCTTTTTGAAGCAGCATCTCTTTTGGGCATTCACCCTACTTGACTATCATGACATACCAAGGAGTTTGGAGAGTCTTAAGGATGTAGTTGATGCCACAGTGAGTGATTCAAAATTGATGATATTCCTGGAGGAATTGGTGTCTTCCACTTTAGAGGAACAATTATATGCAGATGAATCTCAGTGCTGGCAACTTGATGTAGCATGTGATAGACTAAAGCTCTACAATTTTCTTACCCTACATGATGCTCTTGAACATGAAGTTTCAACATGTATAAAACATCCATTAGCAGCCCTTGTTTACAAAATTGAAGCTGCAAGTGCTTGGGATTCTGTGACTTTGTGGTGCAATACTGAAGACAAAGACAGAAAAAGAGAGGTCTGGTTAAACCTCACACGTGATAAAACTATGATTGATACTGAATCAGTTCCACCACCAGAAGGTCCTGAGTGTTACGTCATTCTGGACAGTGTACTTTCGCTCAGGTGCCCCTTCAGCAAAGTGTTCATTGATCAGATAGAAACTTTGAAAGAACCTTTCATGGATGCCTTCAGAACTGAATATTCAGACTTTGATGTTGATGAAGTTAATGAAGAAATCAAGGATACATTGACAATGCGATTCCAGCCCACAGTGAGACAGGCAGCAATGGACATGTTTGAAAATACTTACTCTGAAAACCAGTTTACTGACTACTTTCATGACTTTTGTAATGTCATCTTCTCAGGAATCAAACTGCAAATGACAGAAAAGCAGAGAGAAAAGGCATCAGAGAGGTCAATCTTGTCACGATTTACAAGAAAACGATATTCATTTGAATATGATGTATGCAGTTTGCATATCACATGTTGGTTGTATGGCCCAGTCATCGAATCAGAGGTCAAACTAATTGATGTGTGCCTTGACCTAACAGAGACAGAAATGGCTGACTTTCTGCAAAGCAGTAACCTCTCTATTAATGCAACTTTATCTGATTCACAGAAACAAGCAAATGAAGGTTTGAAAGAAGTATCTTCAGGTAGCTCAGAGGAACATGGTGCATTGGACAAGTATGTCCAAGATGAGGATGCAGAAGAACAACTAGATGCTGAGCGCACAAGCAGTGTGGTGGATGTAATGGACATAGAGTTAGAATCTGAAACAGAAAGTGAAGATGAAATCTGTTACCAGAGGGAAGACTATTTGAAGCCACCAACTCCTGATGAAATACAAAATGAAGACAAACCAACTTCTGATGAAGATGAAAGTGAAATGATCAAAGACAAACTGTCAAATGTAGATGAACAACCATGTGCAGATGACTGTGAAGATGTTAACACTGCCATAGTGAGTTTTGCCTGCCAAGAGTTGATCCCTACAGAAAAGCTCTTGTCAAGACTTGATTTAGAAAAATGGATAAATGGGGTTAATCTGGTTTTATCTCATGCAGGACAAGTGTCACAGTCAAAAGTCTTCCTATCACTAAGAATGTGCAGTGACTTCACATATGTTGTCTTGGTTCCATTCAAGTTACCAATGAGTTACCTCCACAGATTTGGCCAAGCACTGAAATCTGATACACTTGAAAGTAGGACTGTCTTTAATATAGTTTGTGAGTTAGCTGAGGAACTGTTAAAAACAGGATCAGTACCTTGCAGTGTTCTACAGCATTTCTTTTCTATTTATATCAGCAACTGCTTGGCTGCAGACACAGAAAACTCTTTGCTGGATTGGACATTCGAATCTTTGCAGAATCTATCAATATTTGAGTCTTCACTTGACTACATTGGACCAACAATCTTTCAGACTATGTTGATTGAAATCGAATCAGATATTCTTGGGGAGGAAAATGTAGTTGAGGAGTCACCTGTATTACAGTGTTTGGAGGATTGCATTGATACTTTCAAAGGCAATGGGGAACCTGATTCTGAGTTAGCTTGTCTCCTGCTTGATGTTCTGCAAACAAACTTTTGTCCCCAGAGCTTTCCCTTAGACAGCGACACACTAGAGAAAGTGTTAAAGTGTGACAAAATCTTTAAATCAGATGGATTAACCTTACATCATTTATTTGCACTGGCCTACCTGAAAAACTTTTTGATACATCTTGCCTCTGAGTTGAACAAAAATATGGCAATGGATGTACACATCATTCAAAAGGTTCATGGGATTTTCAGCTGTGATGAATCTGATACTGATTCACTTAAAACATGAGAACAAAGTCCTACAAACTTTCCTTTTGAAAGTCATTACTCAGGACCCAGCCCTAAAGAAATTGGATGAAGTTGTCAGTGAGTATTCATCAGAGTGGCCGTTTGTCAGTGAATTTCAAATGAAAGATGAACATAGATTCTTAGCTTTAGAACTGTGTCCCATGGAAATGACCTATCAGGATGTCTATACTCGGATTCATGACGCATATGATTTATTACCCAAAGACAGCACACAACTAAAGAAAATACTTCAAAGCATAAAATCCAATCCTGAAATTGTGTATGGTGTCTTTGCTATTGCTCTTCAGAAAATCTATGTTGTTCAGAGTGTACGAAGAATTACTGATACAGAAAGAAACGAGAAAGTGAAAGAATTCTTGAAAGAATGTCATGTCAGATTGTTTGACAATCAACGACAAATGTTCACAAACTTGTGTACAATGGAGGATTTTGCATTTCTGTTGTTACAGACCAATCCAAATAAATCAGCAGAAGACCACCATTTGTCAATGTGCATTTTTGCACTTGATATGCGCTGTCCTTGCCTTTAATTCAAATTATGGAGCAGTCAGTCAAAAAAGTCCATTTTGGCTGAGGTGTATACAAGCTCCAAAAGATTTACAAAAGATCTATCTTCCAGGATGTGGTTATAAAGAAGGAGACTTGCACTGCTATACATTAGCCCCATTGGTCACAAAGAAGACAAAGTATGCCAGATCTAACTGTTCATGTAAAAGTGTTACAATCCATGATGTGACCATAGAAGACCATCAGTGCAGCATATGCGAAAAACCTCTGCAAGACAGTGATTTGTGTCGTATTTCAGCCATGGATAGTACAGGTCATGACAGACAAGGGTACATATTTGTTGATATTGGATGCCTGAAAAGTGAATATGTATCTGTGGGAAGTCTGTCTCCTGCTTCATTCCGGGTCCTCCAGTTATTTGTACATGGCTGTTATTGTGCATCACTTGCTTTAAAGTTTACAACTAAGGAAGAACTTTCAAAAGCAATGCACTTGCCAGAATCTGTTGATCCTTCAAGCTACATTGAAAATCATCTTCATGTGCACTGGTGTGCTTTGAAACGTTTGACTGCACTTGGTGATTCTCAACTGTCAAAACTGTTGAACTTTATCATCAAGGATTGCATGCCCCTCATTGCTAGACATAATGTTCAGTTTCATAGCAGAGATGAACGTGAATCATACGAGAAGGAATTTACCACATGTATTGATAAGATCATGGAGAAACGGTTCCAAATTGTTCAGGATGAAACAAAACAATACCATGCTAGACATTCTGACAGCACTGCTTCGAGGCATGAATTACTCTTGGCTGAAATACCTTGGGATGAAGACAGATTGGCAAAACTTCCAAAATTAATGAGAGATCATATAATTCCCACCACAGAGAACTTGCAAAGGGAATTTCACATTCTGAAGCAAGTGCATGAATTTCCCATGATGGCATTGCTGTTTGATAGACTGAAACACATATCACTTCTACAGCATTTGATCCCAATTGTACAGTGGCATAAGTGTGTCATTAGATTTGGTAGTCACAAGCTGACAAGAATGAGCTGCAGGACTGTGACAGTTCAAGATTTCATTCATGCACCTCAACAGCAGCTCCTGCATGCAGATAGCAAGAAAGCAGAGTTGCAGAAGAAATTTGACACGTTCATGAAGTCTTGGAATACATTGAAAGATCATCATGATGATCTGAAGACTTACAATCAACATTTGCCAGAATTAAAGAGAATTCATCAAACCATCTTACTTCAAGATTGTTTAATGATGACAAAACAGTCTCCTATGATGCAGTTACTGTTGGCATTGCAAGCTATCCAGAATGACTTTCTGTCAGACGCAGCAGCTTTGTGTTTGTCTACAAATAGCTTATCTGTAAGCTTTCTCAAAGCGTCACCTGGGGTTGCAGTTGTACCTGAAGTGCAACTGCAACACCTCAATTCAAACAGGTTATACCAGTGCCAGATTTGACAAGTACTCTTAAATTCTCACAGGTAAGCACAAAATTTGGGCATGGCAGAGAAAGACACTATGACATGTACCAAATTGAAACACAGGTTGTTGATGATGTGTGTGTACTGAGCAAGCCAGTGATCAAAATTGGATCAAGTTTTCCATTGATAAACTTTGCTGGTGAATCATTGCATAAAACAGATGAATTGTTTGAAAGTGTTTCCAAGGACTGTTGGTCATGATCCTGTTGACAAAGATTTGAAGAATTCCATTCTTCAAGTGAAAGAAAAAAAGTCCATCAAATATGCAAAATACTTTTAGATTATTTGCAAATGACATTTAGTTTACTGAACAGAACCCCAGTATCTGGCAGTGACAAAGTCAGTACTTGAGTGAATTCCTACAAACATGGCAGTCCTTGTTCCCAAACAGAGTAAAGGAAGTGGATGGATTATGTAGTAGAATTAGACTATGTCAAATCATTTCTGTGTATGAATTCACAGAAGATATTGTGGCTGATGTCATTTTTGATGGCCTCGAAGAAAAATACAGGAGTGAACTACCAGAAGAATGTTTAAAGCAGTTGAGTGCATTGGTCAAGTGCTCTGGTTTCAAATTTCAAGAAGCTTTAATGTCTGCTTTGAAGAAGATTGTATTTCGGTATATCCAGTCAGGATTTGCCAGCCAAGATGAGAAACTGGCGCCCTTACTCATGGAGAAAACTCTGTGGCCGCAGGGAGTTTATGAAGATGCAGTTGCTAAAAGTAGAAATGCAGATGCTGGACTACTTCATGATGCGCACTACATTGAACACATTCACTGTACCATTGTCTTCATCGCTGAAAGTGTTCAGGTAAGTACAAGTGCAACACTGATTTAATATGTTATTGCCTTAAGTTTTCTTAGTTGACGTTATCTAATATTCTTTAAGGAAGGAAATGCCTCTGCATGTATTTTGATAGGATAACTTCAAGACTGTCTCTGTGGTGATTTCAGTCAGTGGTCTTCTTAATGAATTTTGAGTTACAGTTGTCCATTTGCCTGTCTATTCAACATAATCCTCAGTCGAGTCAACATATGCCTGCCTGTGATATCAGATCAATGGGATACGATTATACATGCTCCATGAATGGAGACCAGCCTCATGGAGACGATTATGCTCTGAGTGAAAATGTTAACACCAGTGGCATTTTTCAAGTCACATCTGTGTGTAGTGGCAGACACAAAGTGATGATGTCTTGCTGCCCATGACTGCACATCCTCTGTCCATTCACCATGATGCCAAATATTTATAAGCCAGGGTTATATGTCTATTTTGAATACATATTGCAAAATAAACAACAAGAGAAACATGTGAGGGAGTGCACATTAGCAAAGATAAAACATATTCATGTGATTGCCATTTTGGGGTTATCACATAACAAAATCACAGACAATGATATAAAACAGTGATTTTAAAATGCTTACCCCAACCGGAAATACTATTAATATTTTCAAGTTTGTTCTCCTCAGCTCCATCACTGACATCGCTGTGTATGGTTTTAATAAACTCCTTCCATGTGAAAATTTCCTGTGTCGATCAAGTACTAATCTTTTTGATCACAATATGTCAGGTTTTGAGTCCACTGAACCTACTTCAATTTACAAATATCCCGTTAACACATCATTTTAGATCACTTGTCATATAACCTACAGTTTAATTTTGCAAAGGGTTATTAATTAGTACATGATAGTTGTTATTTATTACACTTACAACTGTCTTGAGGTATTAAATCAAATTTCATTCTGTGTTACCAGGAGCTGAAAATGAAGGAGGAGAAGAGATCATCACTGTTTCATCCTGTTCCAAAGCAGATGGAGAAGAAACAACAGCGTAGAAAAAAGCAGTGGGCTTTTCGGAAGAAGTAATAAAGACTTGGTAGATCCTACCTTTGACAATCTTACTGGCAAACAAGGATAAGTTGGACCCGGCACAGAGAACACATTTACAAGTAGTAGGTGGTGCACGGCAATGAGCAAACCCATTTGGTTTGTGAAAGGTAGTGCAGATGTAGGTTAGTGCACGTGCAGTGCATGAGGATGAAATTGATTCCACGCGTAGCTGCACACACCTTGCTCATAAGACTCTCACATGGTCGGTGTAGCAAGTCGGACAACCTGGGGCCCCTTCAATCACAAGCTTGCAGTAGGCGGCACTCATACATGCTGATACGGGTCAATTAACGTATCGCCACCTGTCAATCAAACAAATGACATGACCAATGAGAAACGTCAGATTATTCAATCCGCATCGCGTTGCCGTCAGCTGACAGCTGACCACCATTTTGTCTGACATCAGCGGTCTGGCGGACTTTTCAAAAATAAATCGACGTTTACAGTAAACGTTTTGATCATGGTGAAAAGGTGTAGCTGGGGTACCTGCAACTCGGACACGCGGTACCCGGAACGACTTGCTGGTGGTATCTGCTTTATTCCATTTCCCAAGCCTGCCAGAAATTTTTGACAAATGTCAGCGATGGATGCGTTTGTGTGGTAAGCCCCAAGTATCAACTGAACATGGTTATGCCATTGACCACAGCCGAGGAAAAACATTTCTTCGGTATGTACAAAAGGTATGGAAACTAAAAATTGAATAACACCTTAACCAATGTTGAAGTTAATGTAAATTTAGAAATCTTTGACTTGGTAGGCTTTCAGTGCTTTTATTTGTTATATAACCGAGTTACACCGATTTTCACTGATTTAGTTACTAATGTTTCACGGCGTGGTATGTCAAGGACAGGCGATGTCTGTTTTGAGCATCACGATTTCAGACTACATCCATGTTGTTTTTAAATTAGTTTCTGTCGACTAATAAATGCGACTTATTTACAGCACTTTGTTGATAGAAAACCCTCCAAGACATTTCGGACCCTGCGTCTGCATTACCTCATGAACAAAATGAAAATCCAAAGACAGTAAGACCACGACCCAAACCACGCTTGCCATTTATGGGCGACAGAAAAAGGAAAGTTCTTCTTGAAACACACAGGTAAAACATTGTTGCCTTTATACTTACTGCTCACAAAACACAACAAAAACATTGAAACATAATAATCAAACACATCCTTGTTTATTCTGAGAGTATCACAGAAAGTTAGTAAAGGTAATGTCACACATTTAGATCCTTTGTAGTTCTGAAAAGACAGAAGTATCACATGCATCACAAGATCACAATCATACTCAAGTTCTGTTCATATAAGCATGATGAAGGGACTGATATCACCTGCAACAGGTGCATATTGACATAAAACCTAATTGCTCCAGACAAAACTGTGTTTCACCCAGGTCCCATAATATTGAGTGATAAGACACAATAACTCTGAAGGATCCAAAGTATTCATTACAATCCATCATAAATATTAATACATCAACATGGACGTTGCTGTAACCACTGAGATCATCCCGACAGTGGTTCTTTTAAATATGTTTAAATACAACATTAATTTACATATTTATAGATGTTTTTTTTACATGGCATGGCCAGACACAGCCATTAGTCTCCTATCAGAGATTGCCAATATTTCATACAGAAAAGATGACTTCTCAAATATAGAGATAATGTATGAATCAGATGGTCCAATATCCACATACAACTAGTCCATTCATACTTGTCATTTCTCTGGCCCGGGCACAGTGTTTCAGAATATATTCTTTATCCTTCATCAGCTGGAGAGCGAATAAAACTAGGAAGCAGATGGCAATGTACATATGAAAGAACAACAGTCATATGATGTCAACTGTGGGCACTTAACAAGTGAAGCCAAAAGTTATTTATAAAGCTGAATTGTAATAGCAATAAACACATATATTAGAAAAGTTAATCCAGGCATAAATAGTCCTGATAGGTAATCAAGAAGTTATAGGAAATAGACAAAGATGGTAACCATTTAAAGGCTGTAATACATTTGAGGTTCAGGTATAAAGATAATTTGGTCTTCATCTTCTTTTCAGTTGTAATCATGGTACAGATATTTCTGATTCACCAAATCAGATGGATATGGAACATCGAGGAGCCTACAACCATGCAGCAGGAATCTGATATTCTTGTCCAACAAAGTGACACCATGGGTAATTTTTTATGAAGTTTGTTTCCTTGCAAAGTATGGTTTGAAGTGATTGACATATGTTTGTGACAGAGTTTCAAGCAGAGTCCTGAAGGTATTCCTGTCTGGATATATCCGTTCAATGTTAAAGTCTTGTCTGGTGTAGGTTACAAAGTAAAGCAAAATGGTGCCCCAGTTACAAGTAGTTGGCCCTGTACCTGATACCAATGCCTATCACCTCTCTTCAAGTTGTAATATTTTTCCTTCTTTTTCAAAAAGAAACCAGTCTTACAGGAGGCTTCATTAATGGTCAAGTCCCTTACAGCATAAGGACACTTAATTTCCACAATACCAGAAACAGAAGTGTCACACACTATAGCATCAGGGGTGGCTCCTATAAATGGAATAGATGGGTTTACAACAAAGCCAATGTCATGAAGATGATTTTGAGTTTTTTTCATGTACATTTGTTTAGCTATTTTCTCATTAGAATTCCCATAAGTTGTTGGATTGGAGGAAAATTTCTCTTTGTCAAAGGTGTTTCTGATAAATGTGTCATTGATTTGTTTTTTCTTGAAGTCATGAGCAGACCAAAGTTTGAAGCAGTAATTAAGCCCTTTCCTTGCTTTTGTACCACAAATCAGACTTGCTTTGAGATCTTGTATTTTTTCTAAATTATGGGACTGAGTCAACTGAAAGTTCTAAATCTTTCCTCTGATGTTTTAAAGTTGCAATTGAATCCAGTTCGGGCAAGTTGTCATCTTTTGGAAATGTGACATCTCCGCACCTGTCCTCCATCTTTGGAACCACTATTGGTCTAATTAAGGGTGCCTGTAAAGAGAAGAAGCCTGTTTATTCACATTTAGTTTTATACAAGGGAGGTAATAAGGCTGTTTTTCTTCTTAAATCTCAAATTGAAACAAGTATGTTGTGGGTGCTATGTGTTCATTCTTAACTTATTCTTCTGAGTGCAAAGCATTTTTAAACATTACAACAAGTCAGATTGATAATAGGTAAGTCTGTTTCAGGCCTAATAATGAGTTTGGTGCCCTAAACTAGCCAGATCATTTCTTCCCTGTAGAATGTATTATTGCTTGAAACAGCTGTAATTGCTTTACAGGTCCTCTGCCACTGGATATGCTGGCTCCAGCTGCAGAGAACAAGCAACTCAAAGAAGATATGGCCAAACTGATCCTAGAAAAGGAGGAGCTCATGCGAGCCCAGCAGATCAACACCAAAATTAGTGCTAAAAATGTTAAGCATGATGTGTATTCTTTTTGTAAAAATATAGAGAATAAAGATTACAAGTATTACACAGGATTTCCCTACGAACAGTTTCAGAAAATATTTAAATTTGTTGTCCCTGGCAATGCTGATGATGAACCTTTTCAATTTACCAGAACAGTTAGCAGTTTGAAGTGTATGGGTCTTGAAGACCAGCTTTTGCTTGTTCTGATTAAACTTAGACAGAATTTTGATTTTAAACATCTCTCAAAGTTGTTTCTGATATCACCCCAAGATTGCAGTACTGCGTTTTCAAATTGGATAAATTACTTATATTACAGGTTTGGATCTGTGTCAATTTGGCCTCACCGTGATGTTTTTGCAGCAACATATGCCTTCAAAATTTAGCCAGGAATTTCAAACACTTTTAGTATCATTGATGGAACAGAAATAAAAATTCAGGAGACCCTCTTCACTGACAAGGCAAAGTCAAGCATATTCAGATTACAAATCAAGTACTACCCTGAAAGGTCTCATTGGTGTGGACCCAAGAGGTTCAATTACATTCATATCAATGCTGTTTTCTGGGGCGATATCAGACAAGAATTAACTGAAAAAAGTGGTTATCTGTCCCTCCTCAGAGAAATGGTTAAGTGTGGGAAACTTAAAGTGGGAGATGGTCTGATGGCAGACAAGGGCTTTAATATTGAAAAGGAAATAAGGGCCACTGGATTACGCCTCAACATTCCCCCTTTTGCACCAGGTATAAGTCAGATGTGTGTGTCTGATGTGGCAGAAACAGTGAAAATTGCAACACACAGAGTGGTGGTCGAAAATGCCATTGGAAGGGTAAAAAAATTCAAAATTGTTGGTAAAAAAATTGCATTTAAGTTTGTTTTCCTCAGTAAATCAAATTTGGTTTGTGTGCTGTTTCTTGACCAATTTTATGCCATATTTAATTCAAGATAAAGATTAATTACTTGATGTCCAAGAGTTGATCCAACAACCTGAGGACCTATTGGTGTGTGTCAACTGTCTGACTGGTGCTGGTACATGTATCTGTCAGGTATGAAATAGGAATCTCTTCATACTGTGCAGCAGAGACATGTAAGACTCCTGTATTTGAACTTTCCTGCAAGTACAAAAAGTATTAGTCACAAATATTGTATTTGTGTATGTTAAAACTTGCAATGTCAATGAATATTTTGTATGCGTGCTCTTGTTCCTTGTTCACTTAACTGAACTGTAATATTTATGCAAACAACTGCTCAATAGTCATCTGATATTGCTTTCTAAACTGTGATGAGTATTTTCTACCTTGGAAATATCTGATGATCATGGAGTAAAATGTCATATAGGTAATGCTTGCATTATGATACATCATTTTCATAAAACAACTTCAGAATCTGAAATAAAACTTGAAATTATATAATAACATCACCTGTTGTCATTGAATGTAGCCATCACAGGTCTCCTTTTCCTATTGAGATTTCCAGGCCTGGCAATAATTATCTGTGACACTGCTTCAGATTCAATCTTTGGTCCCCTTGGTTTATCCCACTGCTGAGGCAGGCTAGTGGAAGAGGGCTGTGAAGGAATGGCTTGATAGCCTGATATCTTCCAGCCTTCCAGTATCAGGACAAGTGCCAGTACATGGGAACACTTTCCACTTGCACTGAAGAGAATAGGGTGAATACATTTGTTACAGAACTGTGACAGCAGGAATATATAATATATAATATAATTGAGAAGAAAATACATTTACATGGTTTTATTCCCATAATGCCCTAACAACAGATATTACATTTACCTCTTACATTTATTACAGAATCTGTTTCTTTCCGCGATGATAGAAATTTATAAATTAATTATATGGGATAACATGGGTTTCATTGTCAACAACTAGGCGGCCAGCACACAGGCGTGTAATTGATTTGATATCTATATATGCTTATAAAACCCCAACAGATTTATGCCATAAAGTGGAAAGGCACCGAGAGGTTATTTAGTGTACTACTCACCCACATTTGCAGCTACAATGGAAGTCAGTGAAGCGATTTGTGAATTCTGTCAAGGGACAAGTTGATTACATGAGGAGCTTCGGTTTTCCGTTGACTTCTATAAATCCTCCCGCAAATCGACACGATATTATCACAACATGAATGGAAAGTAACGGAATGAAGGTATGAGGCCGAACTAAAAGCCACTCCACGTTGTTTTTGCCGCAAAGTAGGTTCATAAGGCAAATATTTCAGGCCAATATCATCGGGAATGTCTCTAAACGATATCACGACTGCCATCTTGACAGTTGGTTTTGACAGCGATGTTGTCGGACCTTTTGAGAGTTATCTCCCTTTCTTTTGGGGGCGTGGTTAACTCTCCACTGGCGATACGTTAATTGTGAGGTCGGTTCTCAACTTATCCTTGTTTGCCAGTATGTTGTTATCTAACTAATCTCATCATTTTGGATCATCAAATGACACTATTTCCATTAAAACTCCTTTTATTACAATTTTTTTAATTCTGGATGATAATTATTCCCCGCAACGCATTTTGCAGGGGGTATTAAAATGTACCTGTCCGTGCGTCCCTGCACATTTGTCTTTTCCGGAGCATAACTCTAAAACCGTTCACTATTCTTCACCGAACTTGGCACATAGATAGATCTGGTGGTCTGCTGGTGCCTTTTGGTAGTTTGGATTTCTGAACAAAATATTTTGTGCGTTTCCATGGCAACAAGTTTGACTTAGACTGAAATTGGTGGTAGTGCTCTTTTCCGGAGCAGAACTAAAAACTGTTCACTGTTTCATCACCAAATTTCATACATAGGTAGGTCTAGTGGTGAACTGGTGCCTTTTGGTAGTTCTGGATTTCTGAATAATTCTTTCTTTTTTTTTTGCATTTCCATGGCAACAATTTTTGCTTCAACTGAATTTGGTGGTAGTGCTCCTTTCTGGAGCAGGACTTTGAAACCTCTCAGTACTCTCCTTCCACTTTGCTATATACACGCCAAAACATTTGACATAATCATAACTCGTAGACATATTCATGAAGAGTATTTTGCCATTGCGGGGGATATTGATGACTTTGTCTTCTTGTTTGATGTGCTTGTGGTTGATTTAGAAGATAAAGCTACTCTGTTTTCAATTTTGCGGTCCTTGATCGTTGATTCAAGTCCACTAAATGTAATTTAAAAACCCAAACCCAGGTTTATATTCAGTCATCTTTTTAACACTCTAAAACCATTTGAGCAGAAACCAAAAGAGGTTGAGAATATTAAGGATAAATGCGCCCTTTCCCTATGAAGTGATAAATGAAACTTAAATTTGATCTGGATATTTGATATTTGCTTTGGCAAAAATAATAGTAAATAATAGTACACGTATATAGTATACATGTATATAGTACACAACTTGTGCTCAATGTGCATTACATGCACTTCCTCAAATGATGACACTGACTTAGGTTGTTTTTATCCCAAAATTAAACCATTGCTGCTATCATGCAATTCATAACATTATGAAATAGTTCTGTTTCATATACTATTTTACCATAATCATGTTTTGTGTTTTGAAGTTTTAGCTCTTCTGAGAGAAAGTCAAATGAGCTTATGTCGTTACCTATTTATTTATCAATTGTCATTGTTTTAAACATCTTCACCTCAGAAAGGGCCATTCAGTTTCCAATCTTTCTGTCATCTTGAAAGTTCTGTTTATTCACAGAGGGGAATGTTTATCACCCGATGCATCTTACAGAGCCTGATTGCTTAAAGGTCACATGCAACGTAAAACACAACTTTGCAGATTCTGATACCTTTCGGTATGGACTTACCGAAACAAATCATGAAAAATGCAAATTCAACTTATAAAGTTGAAAAATAACGCGATGAAAAAAACCGCGCGTCGGAGTTCAAACGATTCACTAATTTTCCCCCGACTTTTCGGAGGAAAACTGGTTTCAACAGCTGGGCTGCGCTCATAGCACTTGCGCAGTGAAATAGGTTCGCGCAGCTTGGAAGTGGGTTGTCCTGTGAATACTCGGTGAAGGCTTTGGTGTGAGCTATTTTTCTAATGTTTTGTTGATATTTCACAGGCGCGAGCTTTTTATATGTTATGACAGTAGATTAACTGTTTATATAATTTCATTTGCCTATTTCACCACACGTTCTTCTTACCGAGTCACTTTCTCAGTTCGATACTTAAAAGCAATGTCATTATTTAGCTAGGAATTTCAAAGTGTGATATAGATATGTCGTTATCACAGACCAAACTCAAACTCTGTTTTATTGACACCTATGTGTCTGCCTGCCTGTCTGCTAATGACCATATTCAATACACAACTGCGATCACTGACCACATGCAATTTAAACTTAACACCAATCAGGCTATACACCATAAACAAAATGCATTGATTTATGGCCCGAGTTCGGTCTCTGTCACATTATGTAATTACACAGACAGGCAGGTGTGATACTTGTACACATGACATGTTATGATGTCTGTTGATTGCAAAATGTTATGCACCAAAAATGAGCATGTATTTACAAAACCCAACATCTCTATATATACACACACAATGAGCCGTGAGGGCATCTGCAAATGAACCAGCCGTTACACTTGAGTGCACACCCACCTGCTCTGACTGGGTTCGGTATCCCGGCTGCTTCGTTTCTTGGGAAGTAAACCCAAGTACACAATATTGCACTTTTGATTTGCGATTATATGCTTATAATTTTGTTTATATGTTTTTTCATAACCAGCAATGTATATTATATGTCATGAATAAGTGATAATTGTGTTTTAATTATGTTTGATTTTTGGTTGCATGTGACCTTTAAGCAAGTAATTAATACATTTTGAAGATAGTGATGATTTGATGGCTGTATTGCAGTTTGCTGACACTTTAGGGTACTGTGACGCATGATATGCTGGGTACTGTGACGCATGATATGCTGCCCAATGTCTGTTTAGAGCCTATTCTTAGTACATTTACCTACCTCAGATTTCTCTAGGTTTAGGTAAAGTGATGCTTGGTCCACAACATGCACATATAATTACCAAGAGTGTAAAATACAAATTCAGGTGAGCAACAGCACCTTTTGGCTCTATTCTATAACTTGTCTTTTGGTTAATGCTTTTTTTTGAAAGGTCATTTTGTTTCTTTTAGGTTCACAGAAACTGAAGACAAAGGATAGAAGACAGGTGTTTGTGCATGAAATGAGTTGAATAACTTATGAAAAGAAATTGGAGCTATGTTTGTAATGAGGCACATCTTCATCATAGACTGAGTTTGAGTGTGTTATAATTTGTTTTATGATTAATGCATCTATAGCATTACTTATGTATATTACATGTATTTCTTATGCATATCACGTTTCATTTCTCTATGTACTCATATTACTATTGATAATGAAACTTGAAACCTAAAATGATATACGTATTTGGTGTCTATGTTGTCTGTAATTAACTGAACTGTATGTAATATGCTTATGTTTATGCAGTTTTGTTCTGACTAATATTGACCCTCTCGCAGAGGCCAAATTGGGCCTCAGTTATTTGAACCTGTTGTTTATGAAAGACAACCAATCCCCACATATCTTTGCTGATCCAAACTAGTTTACTGATGTCTTCAATCTTGTCTTGTAGATATGGACCATTTTAATTGGATATATATTATTCAATTACATCTCTGGACAAGAAACCATTTTTGAAGTGTTCACCTGCATTTAAAGAATTTTAAAGCTCTGATACACCAGCATGTGGTCATGCATGTATGTGCCAACTTGAATATTATTGATACCAGCAACAAAACAAAAAAACTACTGATATGGCCGTTATCAGTATTCTGTAAATAAAGAAATAATGTTCCGGTTTCTTAAAAATATGCCACATGTCATGACCTTGAACAAATCTATTGATGTTGATATGGACCTAAAACTCTTGTACTTTGTGCATACAATTGCTTTGATGATATTACTCATTTGAATGTTTTATATGTATTTATACTCATGGAAACGAATAAGGGAACACATGAAAGTACAAGTGTTCCTTTATGCTTTCCAGGTTGCTTCAGCAAGGTAATTATTGCACTGTGAGCGAAATTCTGGAAATAAATAAAGGAACACTTGTACTTTTCATGTGTTCCTTATTGTTTCTATGAATATATATGAACTTTCCCTGATACATCATATGTTGATGTGACCATTATATAATGCTAATGTAAATATCAAATAAACCCAATGTTGGTTTCGATAGCAAAATATGATGTAAATATGGACCTGATACAGTGGTATCCTACAGATATATCCTTTTCCTATGTGACCTGCTCATATATTATTCATAAATGACTTAAGTTTACATGGCCTTGAAAAAATATTATTGATGTAAATATGAACCTGAAAGATTTGTATCTTGGAAGTAAACCTATTGTTAATGATATTGTTGATTTCAAGATGGACCTGATACACCACTATCACACAAATATTGCTATATATTGAAGTGACCTAGACAACATATTATCACTTTACAGCACCTTGTCAAAATATTATTGATGTAAATATGGACCTAATAGAGTAGTATTTTACAAAATGAATCCTGTCTTGATATAACTCTGATGAAATAGTATTGATGTAGATATGTCCTTGATATACTTGTATGTTTTAGACTTAATGTATCCTGAGCTTTCCATGGTGTAAATATGGACCTGATACACAAGCAGCATGCCCTAAATCTTTGTTGAAATATCATTGATGTAAATATGGACCTACTACACCAGTATGTTAGAAATAAACCCACTGTTGATGTTACCAAAAAGAAAGATGATTATGTAAATATGGACTTGATACACTTGTATCTTTCAAATACACTTGTATCCTGAGTTTTCCTTGGTGTAAATGTGGACCTGATGCAGAAGTATCATTAGAATTAAACCCAATGTTGGTGTAACCTGAAAAAGAAAGATGATTATGTAAATATGGACTTGATACACTTGTATCTTTCAAATACACTGTGTCCAGAGTTTTCCTTGGTATAAATATGGACCTGATGCAGAAGTACCTAGAATTAAACCCAATGTTGGTGTAGCCTGAAGAAAAGGATGAAGATGTAAATATGGACTTGATAGATTTGTATGTTTCAATTAGACACTATCCTGAGTTTTCCTTGATGTACGTATGGACATAATACACCAGTATATTAGAAGTAAATCCAATGTTGGTGTAACCTGAAAAGAAAGATGATTATGTAAATATGGACCTGATACACTAGTATGTTTCAAACTTACTGTATCCTGAGTTGTCCTTGGTGTAAATATGTACCTGATACAGTTGTATCCTAGAATTAAACCCAATGTTCTTGTAACCTAAATTATGAATTATGATGTAAATATGGACTTAATACACTAGTATCTTTCAAAAACACACTGTATCCTGAGTTTTCTTTGATGTAAATATGGACCTGATACACTAGTATCTTAGAAATAAACCCAATGTTTGTAACCTAAAATATATGGATTATGATGTAAATGTGGACTTGATACACTAGTATCACTCAATTAGACTGTATCCTGAGTTTTCATTGATGTAATATGGACCTAATACACCAGTACATTAGAAATAAACACAATGTTGGTGTAACCTGAAAAGAAAGATGATTACCGGTATGTAAATATGGACTTGATACACTAGTATCTTTCAAACTTACTGTATCCTGAGTTTTCCTTGGTGTAAATATGGACCTGATAACCAGTATCACTCAAATAGACCATATACTGAGTTGTCTTTGATGTAAATATGGACCTGATACAGTAGTATCCCAGAATGAAACCCAATGCTGTTGTAACCTTAAAAGATTGGTTATGATGTAAATATGGACTTGATACACTAGTATCTTTCAAATACACTGTATCCTGAAGTTTCTTGATGTAAATATGGACCTGATGCACCAGTATATAATACAGATATATCCTTTGCATGTATGACCAACTCAAATATTATTCAAACATACTAACCTGATGTGTCCTTGCTAAAATATTATTGATGTAAATATGACCCTGAAAGATTTGTATGTTGTGAGTAAACCCAATGATGATATAACCTTGATGAAATATTATCACTTATTATGTTCTTGTCAAAATATTACTAATTTAGATATGGACCTGATACTGTAGTATCTTAGAAATAAACCCATGTATGTGTAACCTAAAGAAAAGATTATGATGTAAATATGGACTTGATACAGTAGTATCTTTCAAATACAAATATATACTGAGTTTTCATTGATGTAAATATCATTGACAGTACTCAAATGAGACTAATACACCAGTATTCTTGAGTAAATAAACCTGATAGAGTAGTAACCTCAAATACAAAGAAGATGATTGAATTATGTGTAAATATGGACTTGATACACTTGTATCTTTCAAACACACTGTATCCTGAACTTCTTTGATGTAAATATGGACCTGATACAGTAGTATCTTAGAAATAAACCCACTGTTGTAACCTAACAAAATGGATTATGATGCAAGATGGACCTGATACACTAGTATCACTCAAATAGACTGTATCCTGAGAAAGATGATTGATGTAAATATGGACTTTGATAAATATCATTGATGTTTCAAAGGACCTAATACACCAGTCCAGAGATAATACAGATATTATCATTTGCATGTATGACCAACTATGGATATTATTCCAACAACAGTATCTGATATGAATTAAACCCAATGTTGGTGTAACCTAAAGAAATGAGAAATGATTGATGTGAATATGGACCTGATACACTAGTATGTTTCAAACTATACTGTATCCTTGAGTGTTCTTTACATGTATATAGTGGACCAATGAAAGTAGTATCCTGAAAAGAAAGATGATTATTAAAATGGACCTGATACACTAGTATGCTTCAAAGAAACTGTATCCTAGTGTTCTTTCATGTAAATATGGACTTGATACAGTAGTATCTTTCAAACACACTGTATACTGAGTTGTCCTTGATGTAAATATTGACTTGATACACTAGTATCTTTTAAACACACTGTATCCTGAGTTGTCCTTGGTTAAAATATTGACCTGATACAGTAGTATCCCAGAATGAAACCCAATGCTGTTGTAACCTTAAAAGATTGGTTATGATGTAAATATGGACTTGATACACTAGTATCTTTCAAATACACTGTATCCTGAACTTTTCTTGATGTAAATATGGACCTGATGCACCAGTATATAATACAGATATATCCTTTGCATGTATGACCAACTCAAATATTATTCAAGCAATACTGACCTGATGTGTCCTTGCTAAAATATTATTGATGTAAATATGACCCTGAAAGATTTGTGTCTTGTGAGCAAACCCAATGATGATATAACCTTGATGAAATATTATCACTTATTATGTTCTTGTCAAAATATTACTAATTAAGTATGGACCTGATACAGTAGTATCTTAGAAATAAACTTGATGTATGTGTAACCTAAAGAAAAGAATTGTGATGTAAATATGGACTTGATACAGTAGTATCTTTCAAATACAATGTATACTGATGTTTTCCTTGGTGTAAATATGGACCTGATGTAGTATCTGTCAAATATGGATGGACCTGATACAGTAGTATCTCTCAAATATTGTATCTTGTGTATTCTTTGATGTAAATATGGACCTGATACAGTAGTATCTCTCAAATATTGTATCTTGTGTATTCTTTGATGTAAATATGGACCTGATACAGTAGTATCCAAGAATGAAACCCAATGCTGTTGTAACCTTAAATGATTGATTATGATGTAAATATGGACTTGATACACTAGTTTCTTTCAAATACACTGTATCCTGAAGTTTCCTTGATGTAAATATGGACCTGATACACCAGTATATAATACAGATATATCCTTTGCATGTATGACCAACTCAAATATTATTCAAACAATACTAACGTGATGTGTCCTTGCTAAAATATTATTGATGTAAATATGACCCTGAAAGATTTGTATGTTGTGAGTAAACCCAATGATGATGTAACCTTGATGAAATATTATCACTTATTATGATCTTGTCAAAATATTACTAATTTAGATATGGACCTGATACAGTAGTTTCTTGGAAATAAACCTGATGTATGTGTAACCTAAAGAAAAGAATTGTGATGTAAATATGCACTTCATACAGTAGTATCTTTCAAATACAATGTATACTGAGTTTTCCTTGGAGTAAATATTGACCTGATACAGTAGTATCTCTCAAATATTGTATCTTGTGTATTCTTTGATGTAAATATGGACCTGATACAGTAGTATCACTCAAATCTGCCTTAAATACTTGATGATATATCATTCATCTAGATATTGACCTGATACAAAAGTATCTTAGAAATAAACCCAATGTTGGTGTAACCTGAAAAGAAAGATGATTATGTAAATATGGACTTGATACACCAGAATATAATACAGATATATCCTTTGCATGTATGACCAACTCAAATATTATTCAAACAATACTAACGTGATGTGTCCTTGCTAAAATATTATTGATGTAAATATGACCCTGAAAGATTTGTATGTTGTGAGTAAACCCAATGATGATGTAACCTTGATGAAATATTATCACTTATTATGTTCTTGTCAAAATATTACTAATTTAGATATGGACCTGATACAGTAGTTTCTTGGAAATAAACCTGATGTATGTGTAACCTAAAGAAAAGAATTGTGATGTAAATATGCACTTCATACAGTAGTAATATAATAATATAATAATAAATGGATATTTCTTATGCGCCATAGTCCATTCAGAGCATGCTCAAAGCGCTACATATAAAAAGAGTGACTAGAGTTCAAGAAGAAGATATGACAATTAGCCAAAAATAACTTGTATCTTTGAGAGTATTTTACTGAGTTATAGGTTGTAGACATTTTTTTTTTTGAAGAGGATACAAGGTATTTGAGAAATCGATTTGAATGCTTCTAGGGATGAAGCATTTTTTTATGGGAGTAGAGATGAGACTGTTCCATAGGGTTGGTGCTGCAAATTTAAATGACCTATGGCTTGAAAGTATCTTTCAAATACAATGTATACACTGAGTTTTCCTTGGTGTAAATATGGACCTGATAACAGTAGTATCTCTCAAATATTCAGATCTTGTGTATTCTTTTGATGTAATATATTGACCTGATAATGTAGTATCTCTCAAATATTGTATCTTGTGTATTCTTTGATGTAAATATGGACCTGATACAGTAGTATCTCTCAAATATTGTATCTTGTGTATTCTTTGATGTAAATATGGACCTGATACAGTAGTATCCTAGAATGAAACCAATGCTGTTGTAACCTTAAATGATTGATTATGATGTAAATATGGACTTGATACACTAGTATCCTTCAAATACACTGTATCCTGAAGTTTCCTTGATGTAAATATGGACCTAATACACCAGTATATAATACAGATATATCCTTTGCATGTATGACCAACTCAAATATTATTCAAACAATACTAACCTGATGTGTCCTTGCTAAAATATTATTGATGTAAATATGACCCTGAAAGATTTGTATGTTGTGAGTAAACCCAATGATGATGTATCCTTGATGAAATATTATCACTTATTATGTTCTTGTCAAAATATTACTAATTTAGATATGGACCTGATACTGTAGTATCTTAGAAATAAACCCAATGTATGTGTAACCAAGCAAAAAAGATTATGATGTAAATATGGACCTGATGCAAGTATGCAAGTAGCATGCAAATATATATATACCAAAAACATTAGGGAAATATCATTGAAAAACATATGGACCTAATACACCAGTATCTTAGAAATAAACCCACTCTTGGTGTAACCTAAAGAGAAAAGATGATTATGTAAATATGGACTTGATACACTGTTATGTTTCAAATACACTGTGTCCTGAGTTTTCCTTGGTGTAAATATGGACCAGGACACAGTAGTATCCTAAAATTAAACCCAATGTTGATGTTACCTAAAGACAAAGGATTATGATGTAAAGTATGGATTTGATAGATTTGTATATTTCAATTAGACTGTATCCTGAGTGTTCCTTGATGTGCGTATGGACGTAATACACCAGTATATTAGAAGTAAACCCAATGTTGGTGTAACCTGAAAAGAAAGATGATTATGTAAATATGGAATTGATACACTTGTAAATCTTTCAAACACACTGTATCCTGAACTTTTCTTGATGTAAATATGGACCTGATACAGTAGTATCTTAGAAATACACCCACTGTTGTAACCTAACAAAATGGATTATGATGCAAAATGTGGACGTGATACACTATTATCACTCAAATAGACTGTATCCTGAGCTTTTCTTGATGTAAATATGGACTTGATACACTAGTATCACTCAAATAGACTGTATCTGAGCTTTTCTTGATGTAAACCTAAGACACTTTGATGAAATATCATTGATGTAACTATGGACCCTAATACACCAGTATTTTAGATAATACAGATATTATCATTTGCATGTATGACCAACTCAAATATTATTCCAACAATACTAAGCTGATATGAAATAAACCCAATGTTGGTGTAACCTAAAAGAGAAATGATTGTGTGAATATGGACCTGATACAGTAGTATCTTTCACATACACTGTATACTGAGTTTTCCTTGGTGTAAATATGGACCTGATAGTAGTATCACTCAAATCTGCCTTAAATCCTTGATGATATATCATTCATCTAGATATTGACCTGATACAAAAGTATCTTAGACATACAACCACTGCTTATTGTTTTCCAGGTTTCTTCACAAGGTATCTATTACACTGTGGGTGAAATTATGGGAATAAATAAAGGAACACTTGTACTTTCATGTGTTACCTTATTAGTTTCCATGACTATAGATATTGATTAGGTACCTGTGTTGATATACTAGTATAGGAATATGCACCTCTTTTATTTATGAGTTTGTGCTATATTTAGATATGTATTTAGATAACTAACTTGTTACTAAACTGCATATGTACTTACGACTGAAAGCAATGTTTTCTTTGTAAAAATACTGTTTTGTGATGAGATGTGCCTCCATTATGAACATGGGAAAGTCATATTAGGATGTATGGTGTTACCTAATAGCTGATACATGAGTTGGAGTTAGCGACTCACAATAGTGATGTCATTTGACACATACAAATATGTATGTTGCAGTTTTTCATTTCTTTAGGTTTACTTCTATTACTTCTTGCTTCTTTGTTGATTTTAAAAGTGATCACAGTGAATGTTTTATACTTTCGCTACAGTAAGCTATGCAAATCTAATTAGTGAGGAATATTGATATTTGTGTTTCTTGTAGACTTCAATTCAGATATTGCTGTGTGAAAATTACAAATTTACATGTTTGTGTTTAATCAGTTCCAATATTTTTGTTAATTGATCATACTTAGTATGCTTTGTATTAGTTGATTAGCATTCATTGATGTCTCAATAGTTGAAAACAAACAGTTTTTTGTATTTCTATCATGCTTTACAAATGTGAAATCTACATTTTGTCGTAATAGAACACAGGAATATATTGAGAAGCCTTTTCCTTATTTCAATTTGAGACTGCACCTTGAATGCTGTATCGTCATGTCACACATTTGTGTGAATTAAAGGTCTAGAAAACATAGTATTATTGCATTGTACCATTATATACTGGACAAAATAAGTTAGGGATGTATTTATTCACTGACACACTGATAAAATATCAATAATAAAAATACCAATATCCCTAACTATTTTGTCCAGTATATATAATGGTACAATGCAACAATAATATGTTTTCTAGACCCTTTTAATTCACGCAAATGTTATGACATGGCTTGATACAACATTCAAGGTGCAGTTCAAATTGAAACCGGGAAAAAAAGGCTTTCCAATATATTCCTGTGTTCTAATACGACAAAATGTAGATTTCACATTTGTAAAGCATGATAGAAATACAAAAAACTGTTTATTTCAACTATTGAGAGCATCAATGAATGCTTAATCAACTAATACAAAGCATACTAAGTATGATCAATTAACAAAATATTGGAACTGATTAAACACAAACATGTAAATTTGTAATTTTTCACAGCAATATCTGAATGAAGTCTACAAAAAACACAAATATCAAAATTTCGACTAATTAGATTTGCATAGCTACTGTAGCCAGTATAAACATTCACTGTGATCATTTTTAAAATCAACAGAGAACTGAAGTAATAGAAAGCAAAACCTAAGAAATGAAAAAGCTTTGCAACATACATATTTGTATGTGATAAATGTTTATCACTATTGTGAGTCGCTAAGCTAACTCATGTATCAGCTAATAGGTAACACCATTCATCCTAATATGGCTCCATGTTCATAATGGAGGCACATCTCATCCACAAAACAGTATTTTACATAGAAAACATTGCTTTCAGTCGTAGTACATATATGCAGTTTAGTAACAAGTTGGTTATCTAAATACATATCTAAATATAGCACAAACTCATAAATAAAGAGGTGCATATTGCTATACTAGTATATCAACACAGGTACCTAATCAATATCTATAGTCATGGAAGCGAATAAGGTAAATACATGAAAGTACAAGTATTCCTTTATTTATTCCCATAATTTCACCACAGTGTAATAGATACCTCGTGAAGAAACCTGGAAAACAATAAGCTTGATGGTTTGTATGTCTAAGATACTTTTGTATCAGGTCAATATCTGTGATGAATGACATATCATCAAGGATTTAAGGTAGATTTGAGGATACTACTATCAGGTCCATTTATACCAAGGAAAACTCAGTATACAGTGTATGTGAAAGATACTACTGTATCGGGTCCATATTCACACAATCATTTTCTCTTTAAAGGTTACACCAACATTGGGTTTATTTCATATCAGCTTAGTATTGTTGGAATAATATTTGAGTTGGTCATACATGCAAATGATAATATCTGTATTATCTAAAATACTGGTGTATTAGGTCCCATAGTTACATCAATGACATTTCATCAAAGTGTCTTAGGTTTACATCAAGAAAAGGCTCAGGATACAGTCTATTTGAGTGATACTAGTGTATCAAGTCCATATTTACATCAAGAAAAGCTCAGGGATACAGTCTATTTGAGTGAGTAATAGTGTATCCGTCCACATTTTGCATCATAATCCATGTTTGTAAAGAGTTACACCCGGTGGGTGTATTTCTAAGATACTACTGTATCAGGTCCATATTTACATCAAGAAAATTTCAGGATACAGTGTGTTTGAAAGATACAAAGTGTATCAATTGCATATTTACATAATCATCTTTCTTTTCAAGTTACACCAACATTGGGTTTACTTCTAATATACTGCTGTAGATGCGTCCACCGTACATCAAGAGAACACTCGGGGATACAGTCTGAAGTGGAAATATACAAAATCTATCATCAGTCCATGCCGTCATGATCCTTTTTCTTCAGGTAACATCAACATTGGGTTTAATTTTAGGAGACACTACTGTGTCGGTCCATATTTACACCAAAGGAAAACTCAGGACACAGGCCCAGTGTATTTGAAACTTTTTAACAGTGTATCAGAATCCATATTTACATAATCATCTTTCTCAACTGGGATTTAAAGCCAAGTGGGTTTATTTCTCAAGATACTGGTGTATTAGGTCCATAGCCGTTTTTAGGGTATATATATTTGCATATATATATTTGCTTGCATCATGGTCCATATTTACATCATAATCTTTTTGCTTGGTTACACATACATTGGTTTATTTCTAAATCACTACAGTATCAGGTCCAGATCTTCATTAGTAATACTTTGACAAGATCATAATAAGTGATAATGTTTCATCGGAAGGTTAAATCATCATTGGGTTTACTCACAACATATACGAAATCTTTCAGGGTCATATTTACATCAATAATATTTTAGCAAGGACACATCGGAAGGCTTAGTATTGTTTGAATAATATTTGAGAGTTGGTCATACACATGCAAAGGATATATCTGTATTATATACTGGTGTATTAGGTCCATATTTACATGCAAAGAAAGTTCAGGATACAAAGTATTTGAAGAAAAACTGGTGTATCAAGTCCATATTTACATCGTAATCAATCAGTTTAAGGTTACAACAGCATTGGGTTTCATTTTAGGATACTACAGTATCAGGTCCATATTTACATCAAAGAATACACAAGATACAATATTTGAGAGATACTACTGTATCAGGTCCATAGTTACATCAAAGAATACACAAGATACAATATTTGAGAGATACAGTATCAGGTCAATATTTACATCAAAGAATACACAAGATACAATATTTGAGAGATACTACTGTATCAGGTCCATATTTACACCAAGGAAAACTCAGTATACATTGTATTTGAAAGATACTTTGGCCATAGGTCATTCAAATTTGCAGCACCAACCCTATGGAACAGTCTTCCTACTCCCATAAAAAATGCTTCATCCCTAGAAGCATTCAAATCGGGACTCAAAACCTTCCTCTTCAAAAAAGTCTACAACCTATAACTGTAAAATACTCTCACGGTTATTTTTGGCTAATTGTCATATCTTCTTCTTGAACTCTAGTCACTCTTTTTATATGTAGCGCTTTGAGCATGCTCTGAATGGACTATGGCGCATAAGAAATATCCATTTATTATTATATTATTATATTACTACTGTATGAAGTGCATATTTACATCACAATTCTTTTCTTTAGGTTACACATACATCAGGTTTATTTCCAAGAAACTACTGTATCAGGTCCATATCTAAATTAGTAATATTTTGACAAGAACATAATAAGTGATAATATTTCATCAAGGTTACATCATCATTGGGTTTACTCACAACATACAAATCTTTCAGGGTCATATTTACATCAATAATATTTTAACGGGACACATCACGTTTGGTATTGTTTGAATAATGTTGAGTTGGTCATACATACATACAAAGGGATATCTGTATTATATTCTGGTGTATCAAGTCCATATTTACATAATCATCTTTCTTTTCAGGTTACACCAACATTGGGTTTATTTCTAAGATACTTTTTGTATCGGGTCAATATCTAGATGAATGATATATCATCAAGGATTTAAAAGGCAGATTTGAGTGATACTACTGTATCGGAGTCCATATTACATCAAAGAATACACAAGATACAATATTTGAGAGATACTACTGTATCAGGTCAATATTTACTCAAAAGGAAAACTCGGTATACATTGTATTTGAAAGATACTACTGTATGAAGTGCATATTTACATCCATAATTCTTTTCTTTAGGTTACACATACATCCAGGTTTATTTCCAAGATACTACAGTATCAGGTCCATATCTAAATTAGTAATATTTTGACAAGATCATAATAAGTGATAATATTTCATCAAAGGTTACATCATCATTGGGTTTACTCACAACATACAAATCTTTCAGGGTCATATTTACATCAATAATATTTTAGCAAGGACCGCATCACGTTAGTATTGTTTGAATAATATTTGAGTTGGTCATACATGCAAAGGATATATCTGTATTATATACTGGTGTATCAGGTCCATATTTACATCAAGGAAACTTCAGGATACAGTGTATTTGAAAGATACTAGTGTATCAAGTCCATATTTACATCATAATCAATCATTTTAAAGGTTACAACAGCATTGGGTTTTCATTCTTGGATACTACTGTATCAGGTCCATATTTACATCAAAAGAATACACAAGATACACCAAGGCAATATTTGAGAGAGATACTACTGTATCAGGTCCCATATTTACATCAAAGAATACACAAGATACAATATTTGAGACATACTACTGTATCAGGTCCATATTTACATCATCAAAGAATACACAAGATACAATATTTGAGAGATACTACTATATCAGGTCCATAATATTACACCAAGTATTTCTAAAGAAAACTCAGTATACATTGTATTTGAAAGATACTACTGTATCAAGTCCATATTTACATCACAATTCTTTTAAGTTGGGTTAAACATACATCAAGTTTATTTCTAAGATACTACTGTATCTTGGGTCCATACTTAATTAGTAATATTTTGACAAGAACATAATAAGTGATTAATATTTCATCAAGGTTATATCATCATTCATTGGTTTTGCTCACAACACACAAATCTTTCAGGGTCATATTTACATCAATAATATTTTAGCAAGGACACATCAGGTTAGTATTGCTGAATAATATTTGAGTTGGTCATACATGCAAAAGGATATATCTGTATTATATACTGGTGCATCAGGTCCATATTTACATCAAAGAACAGTTCAGGATACAGTTTATTTGAAAGATACTAGTGTATCAAGTCCATATTTACATCAATCTTTTAAAGGTCACAACAGCATTGGGTTTCATTCCGGGGGATACTACTGTATCGGGTCAATATTTTAACGAGGACAACTCAGGATACAGTGTGTTTCAGGATACTACTGTACATCAAGTCAATATTTACTACAAGGACAACTGTATACAGTGTGTTTGAAGATACTACTGTGTCGAGGGTCCATGTTACAGGATACAGATAAGTTTGAAACATACTAGTGTATCGGGTCCATATTTACATAATCATCTTTCTTTTCAAGTTACACCAACATTGGGTTTACTTCTAATATACTGGTGTATTAGGTCCATCACGATACATCAAAGGAAAACTCAGGATAGTGTCTAATTGAAACATACAAATCTATCAAGTCCATATTTACATCTTCATCCTTTTCTTTTAGGTTTACACCAACATTGGGTTTAATTTCTAGGATACTTCTGCATCAGGTCCATATTTATACCAAGGAAAACTCTGGACACAGTGTATTTGAGAAGATACAAGTGTATCAAATCCATATTTACATAATCATCTTTCTTTTCAGGTTACACCAACATTGGGTTTTGCAAAGAAATTCTGCGATACTGGTGTATCAGGTCCATTATTTACATCAAAAGGATTTTGTTGGAAGGTTACAACAGTGGGTTTATTTCTAAAGATACTACTGTATCAGGTCCATATTTACATCATAAAAGAAAGGTTACACAAGATATAGTCTATTTGAGTGATACTACTGTATCAGGTCCATATTTACATAAAGGAAAACTCAAGATACAATATTTGAAAGATACTACTGTATCAGGTCCATATTTACATCAAAGAGATACACAAGATAATATTTGAGTGATACTACTGTATCAGGTCCATATTTACACCAAGGAAAACTCAGTATACATTGTATTTGAAAGATACTACTGTATCAAGTCCATATTTACATCACAATTCTTTTTCTTTAGGTTACACATACATTTCTAAGATACTACTGTATCAGGTCCATATCTAATTAGTAATATTTTGACAAGAACATAATAAGTGATAATATTTCATCAAGGTTATATCATCATTGGGTTTTAATCACAAGATACAAATCTTTCAGGGTCATATTTACATCAATAATATTTTAGCAAGGACACATCAGCTTAGTATATTTGAATGATATTTGAGTTGGTCATACATGCAAAGGATATATCTGTATTATACTGGTGCATCAGGTCCATATTTACATCAAGAAAAGTTCAGGATACAGTGTATTTGAAAGATACTAGTGAATCAAGTCCATATTTACATCATAACCAATCTTTTAAAGGTTACAACAGCATTGGGTTTCATTCTGGGATACTACTGTATCAGGTCCATATTTACATCAAAGACAACTCAGTATATGGTCTATTTGAGTGATACTGGTTATCAGGTCCACATTTACACCAAGGAAAACTAAGGATACAGTCAGTTTGAAAGATACTGGTGTATCAAGCCCATATTCACATACCGGTAATCATCTTTCTTTTCAGGTTACACCAACATTGTGTTTATTTCTAATATACTGTTGTATTAGGTCCATATTCACATCAATGAAAACTCAGGATACAGTCTAATTGAGTGATGCTAGTGTATCACGTCCACATTTACATCATAATCCATATATGTTAGGTTAATTACAACATTGGGTTTATTTCTAAGATACTAGTGTATCAGGTCCATATTTACATCCAAAGAAAACTCAGGATACAGTGTGTTTGAAAGATACAATGTATTAAGTCCATATTAACATTATAATCCATAATTTAGGTTACAAGAACATTGGGTTTAATTCTAGGATGCTACTGTATCAGGTACACATTACACCAAGGACTACTCAGGATACAGTAAGTTTGAAACATACTAGTGTATCAGGTCCATATTTACATAATCATCTTTCTTTTCAGGTTACACCAACATTGGGTTTACTTCTAATATACTGGTGTATTACCGTCCATCACGTACATCAAAGGAAAACTCAGGATAGTCTCTAATTGAAACATACAAATCTATCAAGTCCATATTTACATCTTCATCTACACCCTTTCTTTAGGCTACATATTTATACCAACATTGGGTTTAATTCTAGGATACATATTTACTGCATCAGGTCCATATTTATACATCAAGGAAAACTCAGGATACAAGTGTATTTGAAAGATACAAGTGTATCAAGTCCATATTTACATAATCATCTTTCTCTTTTGGTAACATCAACAGTGGGTTTATTTCTAACATACTGTTGTAGTAGGTCCATATTTACATCAATGATATTTCAACAAAGATTTAGGGTATACTTGCATGCTACTTGTATATCAGGTCCATATTTACACCATGGAAAGCTCAGGATACATTAAGTCTAAAACATACAAGTATATCAAGGACATATCTACATCAATACTATTTCATCAGAGTTATATCAAGACAGGATTCATTTTGTAAAATACTACTCTATTAGGTCCATATGTACATCAATAATATTTTGACAAGGTGCTGTAAAGTGATAATATGTTGTCTAGGTCACTATCATGTGTGATAGTGGTGTATCAGGTCCATCTTGAAATCAACAATTTCATTAACAATAGGTTTACTTCAAGATACAAATCTTTCAGGTTCATATTTACATCAATAATATTTTTCAAGTCATTTATGAATAATATATGAGCAGGTCATATAGGAAAAGGATATATCTGTAGGATACCAGTGTATCTGATACATATTTACATCAGGAAAACTCCAGTATATAGTCTGTTTGAAAGATACTTGTGTGTCAGGTCCATATTTACATCATATTTTGCTATCGAAACCAACATTGGGTTTTATTTGATATTTACATTAGCATTATATAATGGTCACATCAACATATGATGTATCAGCTTCATATACTCATAGAAACAAATAAGGGAACACATGAAAGTACAAGTGTTCCTTTTATTTATTTCCAGAATTTAAGCTCACAGTGCAATAATTACCTTGTTGAAGCAACCTGGAAAGAATAAAGGAACACTTGTACTTTCATGTGTTCCTTATTCGTTTCCATGAGTATAAATACAGATAAAATATTCAAATGAGTAATACCATCACAGCAATTGCATGTACAAAGTACAAGAGTTTTAGGTCCATATCAGCATCAATAGATTTGTTCAAGGTCATGTGGCATATCTTTAAGAAACCGGCACATTATTTCCATATTTACAGAATACTGATAAAGGCCATATCAGTAGTTTTTTTGTTTTGTTGCTGGTATCAATAATATTCAAGTTGGCACATACATGCATGACCACATGCTGGTGTATCAGAGCTTTAAAATTCTTTAAATGCAGGTGAAAACTTCAAAAATGGTTTCTTGTCCAGAGATGTAATTGAATAATATATATCCAATTAAAATGGTCCATATCTACAAGACAAGATTGAAGACATCAGTAAACTAGTTTGGATCAGCAAAGATATGTGGGGATTGGTTGTCTTTCATAAACAACAGGTTCAAATAACTGAGGCCCAATTTGGCCTCTGCGAGAGGGTCAATATTAGTCAGAACAAAACTGCATAAACATAAGCATATTACATACAGTTCAGTTAATTACAGACAACATAGACACCAAATACGTATATCATTTTAGGTTTCAAGTTTCATTATCAATAGTAATATATAAGTACATAGAGAAATGAAAGCATTGATATGCATAAGAAATACATGTAATATACATAAGTAATGCTATAGATGCATTAATCATAAAACAAATTATAACACACTCAAACTCAGTCTATGATGAAGATATGCCTCATTACAAACTATAGCTCCAATTTCTTTTCATAAGTTATTCAACTCATTTCATGCACAAACACCTGTCTTCTATCCTTTGTCTTCAGTTTCTGTGAACTAAAAAAGAGACAAAATGACCTTTCAAAAACGCATTAACCAAAGACAAGTAATAGAATAGAGCCACAAGGTGCTGTTGCTCACCTGATTTTGTATTTTAGACTCTTGGTAATTATATGTGCATGTTGTGGACCAAACCATCACTTTACCTGAACCTAGAAATCTGAGGCAGGTGAATGTACTAAGAATAGGCTCTAAACAGACATTGGGCAGCATATCATGCATCACAGTACCCAGCATATCATCGTCCACAGTACCCTAAAGTGTCAAGCAAACTGCAATACAGCCATCAAATCATCACTATCTTCAAAATGTATTAATTACTTGCAAAGGTCACATGCAACCAAAAAATCAAACATAATTAAAACACAATTATCCTTATTCACTGACATATAATATACATTGCTGGTTATGAAAAACATATAAACAAAATTATAAGCATATAATGCAAATCAAAGTGCAATATTGTGTACTTGGGTTTACTTCCCAAAAGCAGAAGCAAGCGGGATGCGAACCCAGTCAGAGCGGGTGGGTGTGCACTCAAGGTAACAACTGGTTCATTTGCAGATGCCTCCAGCTCATTGTGTGTGTATATATAGAGATGTTGGGTTTTTGTAAATACATGCTCATTTTTGGTGTATAACATTTGCAATCAACAGACATCATAACATGTCATGTGTTCAAGTATCACACCTGCCTGTCTGTGTAATTACATAATGTGACAGAGACCGAACTTCGGGCCATAAATCAATGCATTTTGTTTATGGTGTATAGCCTGATTGGTGTTAAGTTTAAATTGCATGTGGTCAGTGATGCTTGTTTGTGTATTGAATATTGTCATTAGCAGACAGGCAGGCAGACACATAGGTGTCAATAAAACAGAGTTTGAGTTTGGTCTGTGATAGCGACATATCTATATCACACTTTGAAATTCTGTAGCTAAATAATGACATTGCTTTTAAGTGTCGAACTGAGAAAGTATTTCGGTAAGAAGAGCGATGTGGTGAAATAGGCAAATGAAATTATATAAACAGTTAATCTACTGTCATAACATATAAAAGCTTCAGCCTGTGAAATATCAACAAAACATTAGAAAAATAGCTCTCACAAAGCCTTCACAGTATTCACCAGGACAACCCCACTTCCAAGCTCTTGTGAACCTATTTCTCTTACTGAAGTGCTATGAAAGCATAGCCAGCTGTTGAAACCAGTTTTCCCCGAAAAGTCTGGGGGAAAATTAGTGAATCGTTTGAACTCCGACCAACGCGTTTTTTTTCAGCGGCGTTATTTTCAACTTTATAAGATTGAATTTGCATTTTCATGATTTGTTTTGGTAAGTCCATGCCGAAGGTATCAGGAATCTGCAAAGTTGTGTTGTTTCGTTGCATGTGACCTTTTAAGCAATCGGGGCTCTGTAAGATGCATGGGTGATAAACATTCCCCTCAATGAATAAACAGAACAAGATGACAGAAAGATTGGAAACTGAATGGCCCTTTCTGAGGTGAAGATGTTTAAAACAATGACAATTGATAAATAAATAGAGTACTTTGACATATAAGCTCATTTGACTTTCTCTCCAGAAGAGCTAAAACTTCAAAACACAAAGCATGATTATGGTAAAATGGTATATGAAACAGAACTATTTCATAATGTATAGTGCATGATAGCAGCTTGTGGTTTAATTTTGGGATAAAAACAACCTAAGTCAGTGTCATCATTTGAGGAAGTGCATGTAATGCACATTGAGCACAAGTTGTGTACTATATACATGTATACTATATACGTGTACTATTATTTACTATTATTTTTGCCAAAGCAAATATCAAATATCCAGATCAAATTTAAGTTTCATTTATCACTTCATAGGGAAAGGGCGCATTTATCCTTAATATTCTCAACCTCTTTTGGTTTCTGCTCAAATGGTTTTAGAGTGTTAAAAAGATGACTGAATATAAACCTGGGTTTGGGTTTTAAAATTACATTTAGTGGACTTGAATCAGCGATCAAGGACATAAAAGTGAAAACAAGTAACACATCTTCTAAATCAACCACAAGCACATCAAACAAGAAGAACAAAGTCATCAATATCACCACTTAATGGCAAAATACTCTTCATGAATATCTGAGTTATGATTATGTCAAATGTTTTGAAGTGTATATAGCAAAGTGGAAGGAGAGTACTGAGGGTTTTCAAAGTCCTGCTCAGAAAGAGGAGCACTACCACCAAATTCAGTTGAAGCAAAAATTGTTGCCATGGAAATGCAAAAAGAAGAAAGTATTCAGAAATCCAGAACTACCAAAAGGCACCAGTTCACCACTAGACCTACCTATGTGTGAAATTTGGTGATGAAACAGTGAACAGGTTTTAGTTCTGCTCGGGAAAAGAGCACTACCAATTTCAGTCCTAAGTCAAACTTGTTTGCCATGGAAGCGCTTACAAAATATTTTGTTCAGAAATCCAAACTACCAAAGGCACCAGCAGACCACCAGATCTATCTATGTGCCAAGTTCGATTGAAGAATAGTGAGCGGTTTTAGAGTTATGCTCGGAAAGACAAATATTGCTTGGGGCTTTACGGACAGAATTTTAATATAGCCCCCAAAAAATGCGTTACTTGAGAATAATTATCATCAGAATTAAAAATTGTAATAGAAAAGGAGTTTTAATGGAAATAGTGTCATTTGATGATCCAAAATGATGAGATTAGTTAGATAACAACATACTGGCAAACAAGGATAAGTTGAGAACCGACCTCTGAATGCTTGTAGCCAGTGGAGAGTTAACAACGCCCCCAAAGAAAGGAGATAACTCTCAAAGGTCCGACAACATGCAGCTGTCAAAACCAACTGTCAAGATGGCAGTCATTGATATGGATTTAGAGACATTCCGATGATATTGGCCTGAAATATTTGCCTTATGAACCTGGCTGCGGCAAAACAGCATTGGTGGCTTTAGTTAGACCTCATACCTTCATTCCGTTACTTTCCATTCATGTTGTGATAATATCGTTATTCGATTTGCGGGAGGATTTATAGAAGTCAGCGAGGCGAAGCTCACCATGTAATCAACTTGTCCCTTTGCAGAAATTCACAAATGGATTCACTGGCCCATTGTAGCTGCAAATATTGGGTGAGTAGTACCACGAAATAACCGGTGCCTTTCCAATTTATGGCATAAATCTGTTGGGGTTTTATAAGCTGGCATATATAGATATCAAATCAATTACTGCGTCTGTGTGCTGGCGCTTCAGTTGTTGACAATGAAACCCGTATGTTATCATATAATTCGATAGAATTTCTGTGCGTATTAGAAAGTGCAGATTCTGAAATAAATGTAAAGAATTAAATGTAATATCTGTTGTTGGGCGATGAGAATAAAACCATGTAAATGTATTTTTTCTTCTCAATTATACTTATATATTATATATTCCTGCTGTCACAGTTCTGTAACAAATGTATTCACCTATTCTCTTCAGTGCAAAGTGGAAAGTGTTCCCATGTACTGGCACTTGTCCTGATACTGGAAGGCTGGAATATATCAGGCTATCGAAGCCATTCCTTCACAGCCCTCTTTCACTAGCCTGCCTCAGCAGTGGGATAAACCAAAGGGGGACCAGGTGAATCTGAAGCAGTGTCACAGATGATTATTACCCAGACCTGGAAATCTCAATAGGAAAAGGAGACCTGTGATGGCTACATTCAATGACAACAGGTGATGTTATTATATACTTCAAGTTTTATTTCCAGATTCTGAAGTTGTTTTATGAAAATGATGTGTCATAATGCAAGCACATTACCTATATGACATTTTACTCCATGATCATCAGATATTTCCAAGGTAGAAAATACTAATCACAGTTTAGAAACAATATCAGATGACTATTGAGCAGTTGTTTGCATAAATATTACAGTTCAGTTAAGTGAACAAGGAACAAAATTGCATTACAAAATATTCAGTGACATTACCAAGTTTTTAACATACACAAATACAATATTTGTGACTAATACTTTTGTACTTGCAGGAAAGTTCAAATACAGAAGTCTTACATGTCTCTGCTGCACAAGTATGAAGAGATTCCTATTTCATACCTGACAGATACATGTACCAGCACCAGTCAGACAGTTGACACACCAATAAGGTCCTCAGGTTGTTGGATCAACTCTTGGACATCAAATAATTAATCTTTATCTTGAATTAAATATGGCATAAAATTGGTCAGAAACAGCACCACAAACCAAATTTGATTTACTGAGGAAAACAAACTTAAATGCAATTTTTACCAACAATTTTGAATTTTTTACCCTTCCAATGGCATTTTTCGACCACCACTCTGTGTGTTGCAATTTTTCACTGTTCTGCCATCAGACACACACATCTGACTTATACCTGGTGCAAAGGGGAATGTTGAAGTAATCGGTAGTATTTTATTTCCTTTTCAATATTAAAAGCCCTTGTCTGCCATCAGACCATCTCCACTTTAAGTTTCCCACATAACCATTTCTCTGAGGAGAGGACAGATAACCACTTTTTCAGTTAATTCTTTGTCTGATGTACCCCAGAAAACAGCATTGATATGAATGTATTTGAACCTCTTGGGTCCACACCAATGAGACCTTTCAGGGGTAGTACTAGATTTGTAATCTGAATATGCTTGACTTTGTATCAGTGAAGAGGATCTCTGAATTTTTATTTCTGTTCCATCAATGATACTAAGAGGTGTTTGGAAATTCCTGTGAGAAATTTTGAAGGCATATGTTGCTGCAAAACATCGGTGAAGGCCAAAGTGACACGATCCAAACCTGTAATATAAGTAATTTATCAATTTGAAAGCGCCCAGTACTGCAATCTTGGGGTGATATCAGAAACAACTTTGAGAGATGTTTAAAATCAAAATTCTGTCTAAGTTTAATCAGAACTTGGCAGCAAAAGCTGGTCTTCAAGACCCATACACTTCAAACTGCTAACTGTTCTGGTAAATTGAAAGGTTCATCGGCATCAGCATTGCCAGGGACAACAAATTTAAAATGTTTTCTAGAGAGCTGTTAGTAGGGAAATCCTGTGTAATAGCTTGTAATCTTTATTCTCTATATTTTTACAAAAGAGGTACACATCATGCTTAACATGTTTTAGCACTAATTTTGGTGTTGATCTGCTGGAAGCTGCGCATGAGCTCCTCCTTTCTAGGATCAGTTTGGCCATATCTTCTTTGAGTTGCTTGTTCTCTGCAGCTGGAGCCAGCATATCCAGTGGCTTGAAGGGACCTATAAGCACAATTACAGCTGTTTCAAAAACAATAGCCATTCTACAGGGAAGGAAATGATCTGACTGGTTTAGAACTTCAAACTCATTATTGAGCCTGAAACAGACTTACCTATTATCAATCCTGACTTGTTGTAATGTTTAAAATGCTTTGCACTCAGAAGAATAAGTTAAGAATGAACACATAGCACCCACAACATACTTGTTTCAATTTGAGATTTAAGAAGAAAAACAGCCTTATTATTACCTCCCTTGTATAAAACTAAATGTGAATAAACAGGCTTCTTCTCTTTACAGGCACCCTTAATTAGACCAATAGTGGTTTCAAAGATGGAGGGACAGGTCTTGGGAGATGTCACATTTCAAAGATGACAACTTGCCGAACTGGATTCAATTACAACTTTAAAACATCAGAGGAAAGATTTAGAACTTTCAGTTGGCGAGTCCCATAATTTAGAAAAAAATACAAGATCTCAAAGCAAAGTCTGGTTGTGTTACAAAGCAAGGAAAGGAATTACTGCTTCAAACTTTGGTCTGCTCATGACTGCATAAAACAAATCAATGAAACACATTTATCAGAAACACCTTTAGATAAGAGAAATTTTCCTCCAATCCAACAACTTATGGGAATTCTAATGAGAAAATAGCTAAACAAATGTACATGAAAAAAACTCAAAATCATCTTCATGACATTGGCTTTTGTTGTAAACCCATCTATTCCATTTATGGGAGCCACCCCTGATGCTTTATGGTGTGTGACACTTCTGTTTCTGTATTGTGGAAATTAAGTGTCCTTATGCTGTAAGGGACTTGACCCATTAATGAAGCCTCCTGTAAGACTGGTTTCTTTTTGAAAAAAGGAAAATATTACAATAACTTGAAGAAGGTGATAGGCATTGGTATCAGGTGCAGAGACCAACTACTTGTAACTGGGGCACCATTTTCGCTGACTTTGTAACCTACACCAGACAAGACTTTAACATTGAGCGGATATATCCAGACAGAATACCTTCAGGGACTCTTACTTGAAACTCTGTGCACAAACATATGTCAATCACTTCAAACCATACTTTGCAAAGGAAACAAACTTCATAAAAATTACCCATGGTGTCACTTTGTTTGGACAAGAATATCAGATTCCTGCTGCATGGTTGTAGAGGCTCCCGATGTTCCATATCCATCTGATTTGGTGAATCAGAAATCTGTACCATGATTACAACTGAAAAAGAAGATGAAGACCAATTATCTTATACCTGAACCTCAAATGTATTACAGCCTTTAAATGGTTACCATCTTTGTCTATTTCCTATAACTTCTTGATTACCTATCAGGACTATTTATGCCTGGATTAACTTTTCTAATATATGTGTTTATTGTATTACAATTCAGATAAATAACTTTTGGCTTCACTTGTTAAGTGCCCACAGTTGACATCATATGACTGTTGGTTCTTTCATATATAATATTGCCATCTGCTTCCCTAGTTTTATTAGTCTCCCAGCTGATGAAGGATAAAGAATATATTCTGAAACACTGTGACCGTCAGAGAAATGACAAGTATGAATGGGACTGTGTTGTATGTGGATATTGGACCATCTGATTCATACATTATCTCTATATTTGAGAAGTCATCTTTTCTGTGTGAGAATATTGGCAATCTCTGGATAGGAGACTAATGGCTGTGTCTGCAGCCATGCCATGTAAAAAACATCTATAAATATGTAAATTAATGTTGTATTTAAACATATTTAAAGAACCACTAATAGTGGATGATCTCAGTGGTTACAGCAAAATGTCCCATGTTGATGTATTAATATTTATGATGGATTGTAATGAATACTTTG